ATTTGGACTCTCATGGAGGAGAAGTTTGAATCAACCACTTCAGCTAGTCAAGGACGAGCATACAATGCTTTCTTTCAAATTGTTCATGAATCACTTGATCAATATATCAAAGCAAATCGCCTTGCGTTGGCTGTCATGTGTTCTGTTGGTGTTAACTTTTCTGATGAAATTCAAGAATGTATTGGAGAACACATCGTCGCAAAGCTTCCCAATTCTATGGAGACTACTCTGGCCATACTCAACACCAAACGTCCTTTAAAAACCAAGGCTGTGTTAACGATTCTTGATTCTTATCTGGTTGAGTATAACAAACGTCATTGCAATGACAACTCCTCCATCACATTATCAACCACTGCTGCTGTCAATCATCCTACTCTTCCTGCTGGGCAATGTTTTCCATATCCTACCTGCACCAATGGACGTCACAATCCAGTGGTTCAAGGACATCTTCCAGAGAAGTGTTGGGTAGCGTTTCCTAACTTACAACCGGCAAATCTTTCTCAAAATCGTGCGACTACGGCTGTCTTAAAAGTAAATTACTTGGACAACATGGTTGAAACCACTGCTTTATCTTGTTGACCATCAACTTCTGATGGAATTGTCTTATTGGACAGTGCCTGTTCCAATCACATGGTTGCAAATATCAATTTATTTCAAAACTATGTTGCTTCTGTGTCTGATGTTTCACTTGCGGATGGGAGTATCATCCACATTGCCGGGAAAGGCAATATCGTGTGCAACTCTCTTGGCGACGACATCATCCTACCAGCTTATCATGGTCCTAATTTAGGTAATCCCTTGATCAGTATGGGGTGTTTACTGAATGATGGATATAACGTATTTCATGACCAGGGTATCATCATCTTAACTAAAGAAGGTTCAGGAGGATTTTGTGTTCAAATCAGAAACAGAGTTATTGAGTTAGACATCATCATAGGCACGTCATCTACTTCTATCACATGCAACAAGACAACTGTCACTGATTATAATGTGTTACACAGAGGATCAGGTCACACAAAGGTAAATCGCCTTCAAATTATGTATGCAGTCAAACCTCCGGAGAATTGGTTTTGTGACGATTGTGCTCTGTCAAAAGGCCATCGTTTATTGTATCCTAGTTCCCTTCCAACTCCCTCTTTTCCTCTTGAAGTTGTGCATAGCGATTTGAGTGGGAAGATCTCAACTGTGTCTGAAGGAGGAGGCCTGTATTAAGTTAAGCTCACAGACACATTTACAAATTACAAACATGTATACATTTTGAAATCAAAAGCAGAAACATTGTCATATTTTATCAAATTCCACGCTGAGGTTGAGACTTTTCATAATCGGAAGATTGTGAGTTTAGTAAACAACCAAGGTGGATAATATATGTCAAGAGACTTTTGTGAGTTGTTGGAGAAGGATGGTACCATTTCTTATCTAAGTGCACCCTACACTCCTCAACAGAATCCGGTTTCTGAGCATGGGAACAGGACAACAACTGAAAAAGCGCAAGCACTTCTCAAACATTCTGGTTTACCTCATTCTTTCTGGGCTGAAGCTGTAGCAACGGCTGTTTTCCTGGAGAACATCACTCCTATGGCAAAAATCAACAATTGAACGCCGTATGAGATGTGGCACCGTAGGGAATTTGATGTTTCATGACTCAAACCTTTTGGATGCAGAGCATACGTCTTGATTCCAAAGGCTTTTTGGAAGAAGTTTGATGACACCTCAGCCCAAGGTATCTTATTAGGCTATCAACTTGGGATGAAGAACTATTGTGTGAAGTTTGATAACGGTAAGACAGTGTACTCACCTGATGTAGTGTTCAATGTCAACTCATTTCCTGGTATCAACAGAAACAATGATTCTGGAAATTCCTTCGGTGAGATGTTTGTTGGTCATGATGATCTTCCTTCTTCATCTAGCAATATCTTTCCGTCAACAACTCCACCTCACTCACCACCTCCGTTACCGCCAACTTCATCAGCAGAAGACGGTGAAACTGAAGGACAGCTTGTGTTACGTGAAGAACTACCACCACCGGCTCCTCTATTGCCCAACAGTCTATTGCCACGACCGTTGCCACCACTGCCATTTTCTCCTTTGAAACACTCTTGGGATTGGCAACCGGCAGCATTACCAGCACCTCATGATATTTCCAGTGCTATCGATGTGGCTAACATTTTACCACCAGAAATCAAGCGACATCGACTTCATTCTGCGCAAAGACAAGTAACTCGCTGTGAACTGAGAAAGTGTGCAAAAGCTATGATCAAATTATCAATGGAGGCCAGTAACATCAACAATCGGCTTGACTCCATCACACCTGAATTTCTCAGCAAGAACTGTGTCAATCTAAGAAACTCGAGAATCACTGTGCAAGTGGCTAAGGTAGACATGGATACAAAAACGTACTTACAAGCTTTGAAATCTGACAACAATTTTGATTGGAGGAATGCCATTGATGATGAACTGGCAAACATGGATAGACGTAAGGTATGGGATGTGGTAGATTTACCAAAGGGGAAGAATGCAATAGGACCAACTTGGGTGTTTAAAATGGAAATGGGAGGTGATGGAGAACTTATTAAATTTAAAGCAAGATTATGTGCTCAAGGTTTTTTGCAGGAATAGGGAGAGGACTATAACAAAACTTTTGCTTCAACAGGACGACTAGCAACCTCAAGAACTTTGAATGCAATGGCAGCTGTGGATAACTTGGATGTGTATCAAATGGATGCTGTGGCAGCCTTTTCGAATGGAACGCTGGAGGAAGTGATTTACATGAAAATTCCAAAAGGATTGCATGTCAAAGGAGCAACAGAGAATTCTGTATTGAAGTTGAATCAAGCACTGTACGGATGAAAACAAGCACCAAAAGTATGGTACAACTGTCTCAAGGCCTTCTTTAAATCAATTTCTCTCATTTCTTCTTCTTCCGATCCAAGTCTGTTCATTTCTCAAGATCCAACCTGGAAGTGCATCGTTCATGTACATGTGGACAACATGACAATTGCAAGCAATGACTTTTCATGATTTAAACACCTAATCACTGAAAAGTTCCAGATGGATGAAGACGTTGACTACAAGTATATTCTTGGCATGAAAGTGACAAGGGATAGAGTCAACAAAACCATTACTTTAACACAAAATCAGTACATCCATGACTTACTTGAAGAATATTGAATGTTAGAAGCCAAGCCGGTAGGTTGTCCTATGATTCCAGGTAGTTATTTAGTACCCGGAACTGAAGCAGAAATGAAAGAATTCAATGATTTGGATGAGAACTATAGGCATGCAGTGGGAATGTTGATGTACTTGAACAATGCTACTTGTCCGGATCTTTCCTTTGTAGTTTCACAATTGTCGCAACACTTAAATAATCCATCTATTGTTTATTGGCAAGCTTTCAAGAGGGTTTTAAGGTATCTAAGTGGGACAAGGAATGTTGGGATAACTTTAGGAGGAAGATCTTTGGATTTGAGAGTGTATGCTGATGCAGATTTTGCTGCTTGTCCTTATACAAGAAGGTCAACAGGTGGTTATGTTACGATGTTGGGAGAAAGTGTAGTGAATTGGAAAAGTAAGAAGCAGGAGAATGTAGCAACTTTGACGACTGAAGCAGAATATTGAGCAGCATATGAAGGAGGTCAAGATATAGTGTGGTTTACTCATTTGTTAAATAATTTAGAAATCATTCAGCAAGACATTCCTATTTTAAAACTCAACAATCAAGGAGCAATAGCACTTTGAAGGATGACAAATTTAAGTCAAGGACAAAACATGTAGACATCAAATATCATTGGTTAATGGAGCTTGTAGGAAGTAAGGAATTGAAGGTGGTGTACGTACCGGCTGATGATATGATAGCGGATGTATTTACTAAAGCATTATTGCCAATCAAGCACAAGAAGTTCTGTGAATTGCTGGGACTTAATGATGTAGCAAAGACGGGGGGGAATTGAGATTACTAATCACAACACGTACTTTTTATCATGTGCATATTCTTTTTCTTTTGCTTACATCATTAATCTTTGTAAGATGATATGACGTCATGATTTCTGAGTTCATATGAAGATCACTCTCAAACGCACATTTGTACTTTTTCTCTTTATCAAACTCATAAATGTTTTTGTTGAACAATTCCCTTTCTTAGAATTGTTCTCTCATTCTTTCAATCAGTGTTCAGCTTGTGTATTAAGCTGACACCTAAAACAATCATACATTGTTTTATTGTTTGATTATATGGTGGCTTTCTGCAATTGGTGGGTGATTGAATGGTTGACCAAACTATTGGAGGCCAATAGGTGTTCCAATAGTTGGTTGTGGTCCAGCGCTTGAGATTCAAAGTGGATTGGATTGTGTTGATGAAGGGTGGAGCAGGCGGTGAAGGGTTAGTGGGAACCAAAGCTGTACCCATGTTGGTATAGCTTGTAGGTGAATCAACTGGGAGGCCAAACCCGGCCAAACAATGCCATACGGACTGGATGATATGTCCTTGGATTGTTCCGGATATGCAAAGCCACAAGGTGTTGCAGCTGGGCTGCGCTGCACATCTCAGGTGTATTGGGGGGGAAATTTTGAGAAATTATTGCCACCATGACATCAATTTAAAAATTTGAAAAAATATGCAAAATGATGGGACATCACAGGCTGATTCAACCATAATTTTTTCAAATTTTTCCAAACTCTCATGCATTGCTGAGAATTTTATACATTTTGACTTTTCTAAACTCCATGGTATATTATTGATTTGGTGTAGTGTAAAAGGTTTGTAATAGGTTACTTTGTCAATACAATAGCAAGAATCCTCCTACAGTTGACAAAATGTTTTTTTGCTTCGGAAAGATGTTCAACAAACAATACAACTCTAAATCTGGGGACAAAAGTAAACATCACCCAATGCATTCTTTGTGAACATCAATACTCATATCTGCAGCCCTGACAGGTTTGACTTCTACAAATCTCTATCATTTCCTGATTTATGCTGCTCACATATTTCTAAGAATATCACACTACAGTCTAACTCGCTCAAATCTCTTAATTTTGATTTCGCCGTTGTTTCGAATGAGATCCATGAACACCTTGAAGCTCCTTGATTCTCTCTGCATAATCTCATTCACATTACCATTGACTGCCATCTTAGCCTTCTTGTCAGTCGAGTCTGGCGAGAGACTCGTATTCACTTTACCAAAGACTACCATCTTAGCTTTCTTGTCAGTCGAGTCTGGCGAGAGACTCACTACAGATTATGTTTTTTTAGGTATTTGCATGAGGGAGATGAGTGCAAAAGTCAATCACTGTAATCAGTTTCTTTATCGTGGATTAGCCAAGACACAAATGCAACTATGGAGCATACTTTTGTATATTTCTGTTTGATATCTGTGGCCTTTCAACTGGATTTCCAAAAGTATAGGAAGATCTTACGGAAGTTGTTTCACCAGGAGAAGTTGACGTCAGAAAACTATTTACCACACTGTTACACCGCAGGAATCATTAAGTGTGAAACCAGATTGAGCAAAGTCGCGGTGTCCGGGTCCGCGACTTCCTTCAATCACGGATCTTGTTTGCCATGGGTTTGCCATAGGTTTGCAAGCTTGTCTTGAGCTGCCCTCTACATATTCATCCACTCAGGCTGTAGTATGGACTAATGGAGGTACCATATGTCTAGACTCTTGTAACATATACATGATAAAGCTCATGACTCATACATGATCTTGAGTGGTCTGAGGATATTGAAAGGAAAAACATGCATAACATAGACTGCAGCTCAGGCGGACAACTCAAGGGCAGCTTGATGCAAGCTAGCAAACCTATAGCAAACCTATGGCAAACAAGATCCGCAATTGAGGAAAGTCGCGGACCCGGACACCGCGACTTTGCTCAATCAGGTTTTACACTTAATTATTCCCGCGGTGTTACACTACAGCGGAATTTTACTTACCTTCTACCAAGAATTTCGTTGTGTAATGGTAGAACTCGGCATTTGGATCCATCTGGTTGACTAAATCCTCTTCTCGGTCGTCATCGAAGCTTGTAAAAAACTTCCTAACAGGGTCCTTCAATTCCTCTGCCGACCATGCTAAAAGAAAAAGTATTCAAGCTATGAGTCTGAACCAACAACGCTGGTCCCGGACATTGCAATAGCGACTCACAATGTGCATGATCAAGATTCGTTAATTCAAAGTTATCCGCAAAATTGAACGCCCCGGTCAAAAAGGGAGATGTCATGAAAACAATAGCAAGAAGTGTAGTTGAGAAGCTGTTCATCATGAGATTTTTTTAATGTGGATACAAAGAATGTGCACAAGGAATGTTGTGTTGTTCAGATGAGGACGACCAATCTTAAGCCGATGGACGACTTCCTTATGTAGTGGTGAGTCAAGCTTATAGTAGTACAACACTCCATTCAATCTCACACTTGAAAGAAACATTACGAGTTAAAGCATTGCTTGACTGGTGCTTCCGACCGTCCATCAACGTTTTGAGACAATGATTAGGTATACTTTTTCCGGCGCCGATCGCTTCAGACTGCGATTTCTTATATAAATACTCAGAAGGTATGTACCATTTACGTATTGGCAACCGCCATCATCGCCAGAGCTTATGATGAATTATGCGGTAGATACCGCTTGCGTTCCTTGCCATATGTGCCATAAGAAACTCTGACCTGTTTGCTCATAGGACCTCGCCTTTTTTATCAACGTGTGGGACTTATATATATTTACAACACTGGTCCTGAGGTATGTATGAAATCAGGTAGTGCATCTATCAACCAATGAAAAGATAAGGATTGAAGACGACTTTCATTACACTTTATCAGCCAGTTTAACACGACTCACAAACGATTGCGGGTCACTTTCATCTCTGACCTTGACAAGTGTCACATAACAGCACCCGGAAGTCTTTGAATAAGCCGATCGAAATGACAGAGCCTTTGAATCTTGATACCCTTGTTCAATGTTGAAACGCATCTCAAGAAATTGTGTATCTGTATATCTACTCGACAAGTGTGATATGACGACACCGGAACGACTGGGATTGAAAAGCTATATCTTTCAAACTTCACAGTCAATTAAAAGGTGAGGTTGAGGGCCTAGATCTCATAAAGGAGCTATAAGGCTGAAGCCGACCAGAAATATTGTACGTACATAGTTGAACTTTGGTAGGGGTTCTAAGTTCTAACATGTCGAGTAGTGGAAGGCCCGGGGCACAACTTCATAGAAGCTTGCCTTGAAAAATTTCTCACTGATTTCCAAAACTTATATACACCTTTATGAAAATCCAATATCGTGAAGATGAGTTCATTTTTCTCTTCTCACTCGAAAACAGAAGTCTTGCTCTTATGAAAACTTGCACATGGTCCTTAGAATCAACAATATCAACATTAATTCAACACATGCTTATATGACAATAATGACGCAATATCATAACAAATACAAGATCACAATGCTAAAGCTACACGCCATGTCAACCCATTCCCCTTTTCATCCTTTCACTTCTAAAATTATATATGAGAATATTCACCGAAATCAAACGCCAAGACAAAAACAGGAAAAGAAAGAGATAATTAAGGTGTGTGTAATTGAAAATTTAGCCGGAATGATATACCATCCTAAAACTCGTGCATTAACGTTGCTTTTGGAGCTACTGGACAAACTTCTACTGCTACTCCACTCACCCTAACTTTTTTGGGTATCGTACCTTCTATAATCTCAGATCTAAACCAAATCACTGCATTTGTACTACTCATCCTTTCATCGGATTCACATTCTTTTCTTATACATTCTTGTGCAATTTTTTCTGGTAACACTCTACTGTTGATCCGACCGAGTTGTCGTAAGATCATGAAACCAGGAAGAGAGCCAGTTGTTGAGAAGAGAAAGAATTCAGTCGTTGGACGTTGAGGCATAGGTGGAGGAGCAGGTCGACGCAAAAGACATGATGAGAGACGCTCAGCTTCAGTACGCATGTGATCACTATGATCTATTCCACTTGTACTGAGCTTTCGTTGTAGTTCTCGTTGTGAAGATGGACATTGAGTGGCGTCTGACTGATTCCGATGTCTTTCATAGCTGGATGTCAAATTCCCTGAGACTGTTGACGGCAAACACACGTCCGCATAAAGTTCATCAGGATGAGGTCGAAATGGTAGTGGTGACGGTCGAGCGTGAGAGGAATACTGGGGTTGTGATATTCGTGGTAGAGAGTCGTGACGGGTACGGCCTCGATTTGTTCCCGACATCAGCGCGGTTGGTGTGCTAGGCTCTCGATGATTTGTATTTTTATAACTTCCATCATGATATCCTTCATAATCATTTGTCATTGAAGAATCTTCCCTCGAACTAGGTATCTCAAACACCGAAGAAGTAGGACTTGATGCAAATCGAACCGCCCTTTTATTACTGCGAGCCGGATATGTAAACCTTTGAACAGCTTCTGTTTCTTCATATATCATCTTTCCACCAACCAATCGACGAGATGACTTAATCAGTCGATATTGTACCTCGGCTTGAGTAGGCTGATTGGACCTATCGAGTGGTATGGTGTAATTCCTACACTCAGACCTGCTGCTTCCCATTGTACCGCCTTTCGCAGTAACAGTATTGAAAAGCTCTTTGTATGAACGGATAGGAGGCGCCCTAGACGATGTTAAAGATACAGATGATAACTTGGGACGAGTTGCTGGCAAGGAGTGCGGATCGAAAGTAGACTGATGATATCGGCTCTCGATAGGGGATATCGGAGCGGGGTATGCGCTAAAAAATGCAACAAGGAATTGCATCGTCAGCCAAACACTCATTTAGACTTGGGCACCATCCGACATGCTTACAGTGACATGCTGGGTAAAGCGCTATGATCGGAGATCAACAAGAAAGCCTCGAATATTATGAAAATTGAAAGAAACAGGCAAGGTGGGGGAAACTGGCTCAGTAAGTAAACTGTTACGGAGTGGGGTGGTCAGCCAAAAGTTGGAGCTATTAAATTCTTCGTGGAGATGGGCGCACCAAGATGAACAAATTTTGAAGAATACCACTGCCTAAGCTTAGAGTGAAACAAAACCAAAATCACCATTAGCTTTGAATGCCCGACCTGTTCGTCTAGACACTGATCATCCTGGAAAACTCACCTTCACCCTGATACGCTTGACACAATGTGAATCCTGTTGTGCGCCTTCTGAGAGACCTTTCAAGAATAAGAGACGTCCCACAGGTCAGGGTCGAGATCTTTAAACAATATCTGAATAAGGTGGAAGCAAAATGAACGAAAGGGAAAAATGAAATTGAAACAAGGATAAAATCACGACGATTGATAATATCACGAAAAGAGGACCAGCCCCAAAGAAAAATAAAAGATTAATGTAAAGAGATTATTATTGTAATGTTGATGAATGTTATCTGGATTGAGATGACCTGTCGAGCAGGGGCGACATTTTATAGGGATGAAATGAACCTGGATGAGTACAATCGTAAATTGTTGAGATAAGACGACAAGCGGAGCTTTGTGATCAAGTTGAGATTTACATAGAACATCGGGAAGGTCACGCTCACCAACTCATCAAAGCTGAATGTGAAACTGCTGAGGGGGCAGAGGGCCAAAAAGACAAAATGAATGAATGGGACGCTGATCATACCTTTTTTGGTTTGTTTGTTATGATCGATTGATGCCGTACACAATACCAAAAGGACCTTTTGAAATATCATTCGTCTCGCCAAGATGGGAAGGTTATTCGAGGTATCACGAGGATTGAACAAAGGTCAAGGGGATTGTAGACCACGAAACAGCTGAGGATCGTTGCAAAGTCTTCCTCATCATTTATCAGGATCAACACAAAAGCAAATCCTTTCTGAACCACATAAACTGACAAAGTTCGTTACTTGAAGTTCACACAAGCACCCACCCACCCACACTTGATACTTGCTGTAGGTTTGATACGCGCACTGGACCAGAGTAGTCGACCGAGGTATGATAAAAAGACAACAGCGTATGAGTGAAGCTGATCGAGCGTTACGATTGAGATTGACTGGTTGATGATATCACCACTCGACTTCGAATGCGATGGTGAGTCTTCTCTGTCTTTCTAATCGTATCTTGACCGTTTTGCGATCCTACCACCGACTATTCTCTAGAAGATGAGTGTATCGACATCATGCTTGATCTGATCCTAACTACGTTGCCAAAACGAAAGGTGTGAACGTAGGGAATCAAATGGTTGAACAAATCTCCTGAGCAGCAAACTTCCTCTTGGCCTTGACCCTCCTCGTCTTCGCTCAATACAGGTTCAGCTTCGGTGAGGAGAGTGCAGAAAGGGCAAAAACTTGATATCCCACATTATCCGGACATTTGAGAACTCGATTGAGGGCCGAGGCCACATCACACATCACTCGGGTCACCTTTCGTCTCAGGTCGTGTGTAGCACACTCTGCATGCGTCCGTAGGCCATTAAGTCAAAGACTACATAGTGGTCTCCTTCTATGATTGCCAAGTCAATTGTGGTGCTAAATAGCTTTGGAATCTCGAGGAAAACAGATATAAGTGATTTGACAAAAGGTGATATCTAAAGTGGTTCTATTGGAACTTGTTGCTTCTCTGCCTTCTTTTTGCATCACATGTGGACGTGACACTGAAAGTTGCTTACTTTGATGCAATATTACGAAGAGTGGTGAGAAGCCTATTCGTCTTGGATAAGCCATCAGAATAAGCCAATTCTCAGGGATGCACAACTCAGTCAGAGCTTGCTTCACATGAAGAACTATGGGACCATATCATGAGACAAGCGAGCCTGGTGGCTCAGCAAAAAGGTGGAGTGCAGGAACACTGCCGGATGAGGAGCAGAGCAAAGGACTACAAGTGTGCGATCGGTCAACTATGGTTCCTACAATCTCAGAAGCTCAAGCAACAGACCATGGCAACATTGGATCAAATAGAAATTTAAAGATTTCTTATTCCTTTTCCTTCTGAACAAAGCCACTATGTACCATCATTCTCTATAACTTGCGTCCTTCTTTCTTTTTCCCACCTGCATCAGTCAAGGCACACAAAACTTATATAACAAAGAAGAGAATGGAGAACAAATATATGTATATATAAATGAATATATAGATATTACGACTCAGTAAAGCTTGGAAGAACAATAGAAACCAAGAGGAAAACAATCAGATCCGAAAGTTGACAATTTTAATCCTAGGTAGTTCAAGAACATTAAGACAAGAAGACACACACAACCTTTTCAACTTTGAAAACTTTTTAACAATGAGCAAGAGATATCAAAAGAAAACAATTGGAATCAAGAAAACAATCAACAATTTCGAATAAATGAACTCAACACCCAACGCAGTCCTTTTCAATTTTCAAACTTTAAATCCTTAATGTTCTTCTTCATTGATCTGCTTGTGGTTGGGGTGAGACAGTAAGTATGAGAGAAGGAGCGAAGGGGGTGGAACCGACGAAAATTAAGTCACAAATCAAGAGCAACGATCAAGCACCCAAACAAACCAAGTAGTATTCCTTCAAATCTTCAGATTTTGGTTATATATGGTATATAAGATAACAAAAGGATGGTGAATTACAAGCATACAAAATGATCCGCGATGTGATCAACTTTTTATTTTGCGGTCTGCTAGACCTAATAAGCCACAGATGAGGTAGGTTGGGTTTGAGGAGTAGGTTGGGAAGGGTTGCCAAGATCATACGATCCTGCGTCTGTAGAATTTTGGTGATAGATTGCGCGAGGACCAGTCGTTGTGAAGGCTGGTGCTATGGGAGAAGGAGCGGATGACGTAGAGTACGACCTTGAATCGTTCGCGCCTGAAGTGACTGGGTAATTTGGATACCCTGGCGATGGGCCCGAGTTCATCTGATGGGGATCTGGTTTGATGGGTGCAACATTTGTTGCAGTGGAGCCATAAGGTGATCCAGTCGTGGTTTCGGACGTCATCCCTGCCCCAGTATATGTCCCCTCCGTTTTGACGTAATTATGTTCGGTAGAAGCAGAGAGAGTGTGAGATGGTAGTGAGAGCTGGCGTGCTCGGTCGGCTGGTGAGGGAGAAGGGGGTTGATACAGACCCGTACCTCCCGAATAAGAGGCAGCCCGACTGTGATTTGCGGATGGATCTTGACCTGTTTGTTCTGGCTGTAGCGTTCCGTTTTCACCTCCATTGGCCGGCCAAGACGGATAGTAGAATGACTGTCGGCCAGCGCTCAGTGGAGCGGAAACCGAGTTTTGCCTTGGGGGGCCTCCAGCGTACTGATCGTTGTTAAACCACGTACACTGAGATGGGTTTTGATGAGCGATAGGTTGGGGTAGCCTCATGTAGGAGGGTAAGCCGTTTCCAGAATGGCCTGATGGTGGCGAAGGCGGACGAGATAAGTGTGCAATGGGACCGTTCACGCTAGGAGGGCCAGCACCCGTAGGATAATGAGAGAGTGACGGAACGCGTGCAGCCTGGGAGCCATTTGAGAGTTGAGGGGGTGGTCCAATTTGGTGATACCGAGGAGACGAGGGGTTAGGAGACGGGTAAAAGCCATTCACTTTAGACGGAGGTCGATTCATGGAGGAAGGTGGTCGCGAAGGCTGCGAGGGGACCGAATGATGATGGGGATGTGACATCTGGTGATGATGAGGGGCAGGCTGGCCATACATGTCGTTATGCATAGGGTGATGATGTGGATGATGATGCATATCTGCAGGATGCGGAAGACCACCCATAGAGCCAGGGGCAGAGGGAGCCATCATCTGAGGACCACCATGCATAGACGGGAACTTGGTCTGTATTTGCTGCTGCGATGTGCTTGAGCGACGTTTGCCGGTGTTGTTAGGACGGCGTTTGTAAACATACTCTGGGAATCTGTGATGCGGGCAATGACCAGGAAGGAATGACGAATGAAGTGTGCGAATGACCCCAAGTTTGGACCAAGCGACAGATAAGAGATCAAACAGCAAAAAAGGTGTGCAAGACGACGCAATCAGTAAGTGCGATCGCGTATGCAGATAGCCGACAGCTACAGGAAACTAACCGATTATGAAATTCGTCCTTCAGGAGCTTAGCCTGATCAAGGTAGTGAGATTTGTCTTCGTCAGGAAGGTTTTTCCAGTCATGACTAAGGCGCTTGGAGATCTCGCCGGTCTTCAACCCGGGTTCTTTAGCTTGGATGGCAGGCCGTCGGTGACGTGCAAAGATCCTGAAATGAATCACATCCCATCAGTCAAGGAGCGGAGCAAGAAGTCGAGAAAGACATACATGAATGCGTTCATCGGACGCCTGGGTTGACCATCTGGATGTAGATCTTGATGCAAAATTCCAGGTACCGCGCCTACTTCTGAGCTAACTACGCCTTCTGTCTCTAGGAGGGGTCTGTCCTGACATTGGCTATCTGGGTCCGAGAGCTGCTCATTAGATGATTCAGCATTGTGGTTCTGATGGTTCTGCTGAGGTTCTGATGAATGGAAGTAAGTCGATGGTGATCGAGTTGTGTCGGGAGTTGATTCGCAACCCGCAGGATTAGCATTTGTGCTAGGAATCACATTCGGTGAATCAGGTGAGGATATGAAGGGGACTGGAAAATTATGAGAAAGCCGAGTCAGTATTTCGATCGCTGATGATCCAATGGGAAGTCAAATAAGCATTATGTAAATGTGTGCAATGAATAATCCTCGGAGAATTATATAATTGATTGAATTGATTACAACAGTTTGTTGCTTAAATCGGTTGTTCGGACCAAGCATAGCCGAATAAATAGTTCAAAACTTGAACAAAGACTGAGTCTTTCAAGTTTCCGTTCGATTGCACGAGTGTCGCATCAAATTGTGAAAAAAGATATTGAGACGAAATCGCAAGAGAAATTGGCCTCACGAGTATGGGGAAGGGCCGGAGAGGGTTGCGAGACCATCATGTATGCAGACATGAATCGAAGCGAAGGTTATGTATTGGAGACCTTTGTTGCGTTGCCCGGAGATGTTTTGAACAGTGCCGATGACGTTGAATTGGACGTTGTTTTGTTGAAAGCACGAGGCGCAAGGGAGGACGGAGATAACACTGCAGCATCAAGGGTTGAATCCAGTCAGTGTCCTTGCGTGTGATGATGGTTACCATGTTTGAAAATTAAAAGAACAGCGTTGCTGATACGAGACGCGCGACGACAGACGAGAACGCACCTAGGAAATGAGAAAAGTAGGATTGTAGTTTGGTTGAGTAGATTGAGTAGAATTCAATTTAATAGGAGCAAGGATAGACAATAGCAATTGATAAGCTGTTTTGAATCTGTGTTCAACTAGTTGTTGAAACTTAGATAGTGGGAGAAAACAACAGTTAACACAGTTGATTCTACACGAATAGATCAATATGAATTAAGATAATATTAATTGATCGGAAGGATGTGACGGCCACATGAAGAGAAAGGGATGAAACAGCTTGCAGATTGTGTTGAATTGATGATGAGAAAAAGGAGAAGCTGATCGACGATATGAAATCAAGCTTGACACAGATCAATAAAGATCAAGAAAACAACAAGTTCAATGGTATAGAAACACAGAAGAACTGAAGATGGCCGGGATGGCCAGTTGTTTGAAGTGAAAGGATGAACTAGCTAGTGCTAAATCCAGTGAAGGCAGGCCACAAGAGCAGAGGAATATTGAGATCAAGACTCACGAGAATTGGACGAGCGGTTGAATTAGTGCGTAAGACTTGTGTGTTGAAATATTTGAAAAGATAATACAGTCCCAGTACAGTACTAGGGGAATTGTACTGCAATGTAAATAACTAATAAGATAAGGGTTTTGAGCGGGTGGGTAGAGTGGAGCAAGAACTGCAAGAAGTCGAAAACAAAATTTATGTTGTATAGGGTGAAATGGATGAACGAACTGAATGGAAAGAGTAACACCAAAATGAAAGGTTTAAGTCAGCCAATCTGAACGGTTTGAATTGGAACGAGTAAGAAGAAATTTATCAAATGAACGCAGTGGGTTTTATTTTCGAATACAATTCATACACATGGCCGCGAATGAGGCTGGAAGTGAGAAAAAGGCAGCAAGATAAAAGCCTTCGTTTTGTCAAAAAAAAAGAAGGGACAGATGACCGTTTGAATTGAATTCGAGATCGAAGAGGGGAAAAAACTCAAAATGACAGCGAGGGAAGAACACACAGGGTGAAAAAAAACCCCGACACACAAACAGGTGTGAGAGGATACAGGCAAAACGTACACGACCTGGTGAGAGATCTAGAAAAGATGCCAAAAAAAATCGAAAAAAAATTCACCACTGTCCCACTTTTAGGGAGACGAGGGAAGATGAATTCAATGGCTAGTGAATTGTACAGTTTCGAGGGGACGGAACTACTAGGACAATGTACGAACTAGATGAATGATGGGAAAGTAATTGAATCTTAGGTGGCGTAGTGGTTTGGATGATGATATATTGAAAAGAACTGTTTGGGGCGGACGGGAGAACAAGGAACGTTTACCAAGGCTTCAAGGCTGCTCAACTGAACAAGGTCAAGTTCGGAACTTCGGTGCTTCTGGCGGAATTGATGAGGTTGATAGAACCTTTCGAAGACTCAGAGCACTCTTTCTAGGCGTGAGGAGTGTGAAGACCCGAGATCTGATGGAAACACCCTGAACTAGGAATCAAGGTTCAATTCAGTTCAATTCAGTGATATTGTCTCATGGCCTATATTTCCCTTTACCAGTGGAGAGGCTTGGCGAGCAGCGTCACCGAGGTTCAGACCTCCGGTGTTCACCTCAGATGGATAACAAGGAAGTTGAAGCGAGATTCATATCAACAGGCGGGTTGCCGTATTCAAAGGCAGGCGTGGAGGAGCGCGAAAATCCCCCAAAAGCCGGTATTGCCTCCTCGCATATCAAGAGTCCACGACTGTTGTCGAAGCAATTGAAAGGGAGTGGAACAAAAAAAGCATAATGACCCACCCACTTGTTTGCCGAACCCTTTGTCAGTGTCGTCTTAATATTTTCTTCTGAAAACGAGCTAGACCAGGTGGAGGGTATGAAACGAGGACGCAAATTGAGAAAGACGGGGTTGTTTGGTTGGTGTTGGTTTGAGGACACTAAACAATAAAAGTGTTGAGAGCTGCTGAGAGAGCTCAAAATAGTTGAGGATAGCCAACTATTAAACTGTCGTGTGGATCGTTTGAACTGTCAAGGTGCGCATTCAAGCTGGCGGTCAGTCTCTAACACAACAATTAAACGTTCCAATCACAAAAGTTAAAACCAAGGACTGAGGGGAAAGAGATGCGAAGAAAATACAGTTTGTATTACAATTTAGTCAACTCGAACTGAGTATGTAATAATCGATCCAGTGGGTTGTTGCTTATCGATTGCCGTGAGCTGAGGAAGTCTTGAAACTTTAACGTCGGGGGTGCTTGGTTTGTTGGTAAATAAGTAAGATGAGATTTATCCTTGCTGTCGATGACGTTGTCGAATGACCAGAGGAAAAGCTGTTGTTGTCGTTTGAAATTCCTTCTAGGACCCCAGACTGTGGTTTTCTAAATATGTCTACAATTCTCAAACTAGAGCACATCTAAGCTGGTCAGAAGAGGACAACCGAAGTTTGTATATGCACTTGGCTACATAATGGTCAAGATGGTGGGTGGGCTCGGTGGATGAGCAAAACGAGATGGAAATTGATAGATGGAACCTTGCCATCATGACCTCCACCCTACGCCTCCAGGGCAACTGTAACCTACTAATCCACTGCTGTAGTGTTGACAGGAAGCCTGATTTCGACTTCCAAGATTGCATCGATCCTACGTCGTCAAACAATCAACCACTATTCACCAAGTGCCTCGACCAGCGTCGTAAGCCACCGTCTTGGGTCTGAACTCATTGGCAACCGGAACCTCCGCAGTGGGCCGAATGGAGAGCTCAGTGATACGTAGACAGGCCGAGACAACAAGGGCGGTGGGTCAGACTACCATTTTCCTTGAGGATTTGAAGTTCATCACTTGGTCACTCGAAATACCCTTCACATAGGTTTCGATGACATCACAGTCAGAGTTGTGTAGCATTAAAAGACAGAGATCATTCATGAACTGTAGTTTTGTAAGGCTGGTCATGGTGAAACATATGGAGCTCGTCGAGGAGACTGGGTGTTGGCTCCTGACCATCCTGAGTCTGACGCGCGCGGGGGTGCATCAGGATGGATTCACATGGAATACTTACAAATAAGTTCTCGTTCACCAAACTTCAGGCATGCCAGAATCTTGCACACAAATCTCCTCTTCACCGCGCGGCAGGACAAAACGAGCATTGCTTTGAAGAAGATTCCAGTCTCGATCTATGTATCTTATCTCTCGAAGTTCGAAATCTTGTGGATCCCAGCTCCCACATATAACGCAGCAAACGGCAGTAAGGTGGAGAGCACGACCACTTGAGCAAGTTGAGATCTGTTGAGATCGAGATCCACGCAGGGTGATCCCCGCATTGTGTACGTACGTGATTACAGTCTATCTCGACCGGAGATAGCGAGTTAAAAGAGCAGAGAAGAGACAGTAACAAAAAAAGATAGGGGTGACTGCGTTTCGCAAGGAAAGCCGGACACCTGAACCTGCCAAGACGTGCTCGGCGAGCAGGAACCGACGTCGGAGAGTGACTCTGCAGTCACCCAGCTCAGTCACCTCTTCGGGATGCACTGGACGAGTGTCATAAGCATCACGACACGTTCTAGCCGCTGTATGTACAGGCATGCTCAACAGTTGCTGCTTTTTTGTTTCCATCTTTTGTGTTCACCGTTCGGTTGCGGGGTTGCCATCATACCTCATCAAAGTTCATGATTAGTTTTGCTGTTTCAGAAATCTTGCCCGCAGAACTCGAGCAGATGGGTAAAGAATTGTGGGCCGCTTTTAGAGCCTGCTCAGAACATCAAACTTGAGAGTGGAGAATGTGCTTGCAAATATCCAGAACCGAAGACCTAAAGCTCAACTAACGAGAGCGCGGACGCGGACGCGCGAGGGACCTACTTAGCATGCAGAAGACCAGAGCCACAGTAGATGGAAGGAATTTTCCATGTCTACCAATAGCTGTGTCTTGTTGTATACATAGGACGCTGATGGACGCAACATGGTCAGCGTGCCTTGCCATTTGATATGACACATGTATGTAAATGATAAATTAGAATTGAAAAAGAAACAGATGAATCACGGTAAAGAGGATAAGGATATGATGATCATGCTATCAATAAGGTGTAGATGTTTGGAAGAATTTATATCTGTATGTGACCCATGCTTAATTGAGAAGGGCCATCAGTTGAAGCAAATAAAAAAGAAAGGAGATTAACATTGCAACTTGCACGAGGAAGAATGGAATGGTGATCAGATGCTCTCAATGAATATGATCAAGATTCCCAAGACTCCTTGTTTTGAATCTGTAATATATAGTGTAATTATGTATAGAGTAGTACATGGTGAGATGAGGATCAGAAAAGAGAGATACTGAGCATGGGAAGAATAAATTGCATTCCCCAAAATGTGCAGTGCTGTTTTGGTGGAGTATGGTTCATTTTTGCATTTTGAAATTTACAGAGTGCAATTTCTTGCCAGAAAGAGCTTAAGTAAATGTGATGTAAGATTTGTTGGCAGATTTTGAACTTTGAGAATAAATATCAATATAGAAAATCATCTTGAAAGCCTTTCAGAAATTGGCTTGATGCATGTCAAGATAAGGACTGCAGTGACAGTGGCATTGCAACCTATTGCAACCCAGTGCACAGCCATGCCATTGGTTTTTAATGAAAGTCTGTGAGAACAGTGGCTCCTCAAGATGATCTATGCATCCCATTCAACTGTGTGGTGTGGTATACCACATCTGGAAGTTGGCTCACATTAGATATGAAAGACACAGTTCACAGGGAAGAGTAGGACACCTACAGAAGGGATCATGATGAAACATCTGGTTGTCCTGTGGTAAAACAGATTACCTGTGTTTTTAGGGCCTGGAAAGCGAGTTGGGATTTTTGCTAACAGGGAGAAATTGAATCTGGGATCTCCAAAGCTACAAAGTGGATCAATGGATCTGCGGCTGCAAGGCTTGGGCACCAATATCTTGCTGCAATATAATCAGATATCTGGAACATATTGGGTCTGGTGGCAGAAATTTCATATGGACCTAAAAAAGCTGTCTGCTACAATTATTGGAACATACCAATGTGTGGTTAACAATATAGTAGCAGGCACAAAAAACAATGACATAGTATGATTGTAGTAGTAGTTTGACCACCATATGTGATGACAGTCACCCCTGCCAACATGTAAGATTTAAAAACCAGGAATTGGAGCAGCAACACCGCACTCAAGATAGAATCATGGTGGTTTTGTAGTTTCACTACAATAGCACTGTGATACCTCTACCTATTACAACAAGCTTGCCATTGACTTTCATTCAACTAAAAATTGTGTTTCAAACTGAACCACAACCACACCTCTGGTAAAAAAGAAAACCTGTATGAATCAACAAGCTTGGTGTGAATACATAAATTTCAAGCCCTCAACAATTTTGACACACTTGGCATAGGAATTGCTCTAGCAACAACAATTCACTGTTTCTAGGAATTCCTTGATGATACATGGGAGACCCAGCTCCAAACCCACAATACTCCCAGCAAGGGACCTATTTTCATACCATCTTTTCTCTGGCAGCAAGGGATGAGCCGTGTCTTCTGTTGGATAAATCCAATCCTATTCATTGATTTTATGGTGTATCTTTGAATCTATACTCCCAAGCCACATGTCTTTCTCATAACGTATCATCTCATGATTGTTTGAGGGGGCAAGACCTCTTCCAAGCTTGTATTGATATATGACAGACTTTGCCAGTCTTGATATACAGTCATTCTCAGAAATGTTGCAAAAATCCAACATCTTGAGCTGAGGTTGGGGTCCCAAGGAGGTGAATTTTTGATGACATGTGTCACAGAAAAGGTCATGGCAGCTGTCAAGTGGAGCTCAGTGTCCCTTTCACCAACCTCAACTCCCTTTTGTCCGCTCCATGCCATCCTTCCTCCAATCCTCAGCTTGTGTTCACAAGCCCTTAACGGGCAAATCATGGGGTTTTGCCATTATTCTGAGGACATCAAGTCATCAGCCATGTGGCCATCGGCATGATAGAAGTGTGGTCATTGAGGGATGATGGAAAGTGATCAAAGGTTTGTCTTAAGATAGCTGTCAAAGTCAAAGTTTTTGTCAGTGTTTGTGTCTTCATGTCACTTTGGGTCCAAAAATACATAGCTTTGACGGCCTCTTGTATACCTGCCTGTCATCATGCACTATTGTGGCAGGAAACTGGTCACCTAAAGGCTAAACTGCAACCAAAAAATATACGTTTGTGGGGTTGTGTATATTTTTGAAAAAAAACTATATACAAATTTGACTACAGTCAAACCCGTGCAAATGCATACCCGCACAGCTGAATAGCCCGTGATAATGCATAGAAAGAATCCTGAATGTTGATGCTTTTTACTGCCAAAATTGACAACAGAATTGCATAACTCATCAAAATGTATACCAAAAGTCTTCCACCCAAATTATGTGATTGCACAGGTTTGACTGTACCATAATTTATAAGGAACTGGTATTGTGGGCAGGTAATGTCCAAGTTGAGGAAGCTTTGACCTGAGGAGCCAAAAATCCAATGTAAATTTCGAAAGAAACTGTCCCTTCTAACTCATCTCCAGTATGAACATTTCATGAGAATTTAGCACATGGCAATCAAGTTCAACCAAATCCTGGGTACTTCACTTGGTCAAATCACACTGAATATGGGTCCAAACTGAATTTGTGATCCAAATTATCCTAACCATTTCAATCTATTGAGTTCTGTATCAGACAATTTAGATAACATTGATCTAGGAATACAAGAATGACTATCATCTGGTGTGAAGTTCCAGCATGAATTAGATAGTCACTGTACTCAATATATTGGTGTAGTCTAAGGCCTATATCTTTGAGTACAAAACATGATTTGGAAGAGATTGTAGAATATGGCAGGCTTTAGTGGTTTCATTCTTTCTGAAACACTTACTTTGGCCAAAAATTACAATTGACAGGATAATGTCATTTTTCTACAAGTTGAAAATGCACTCTCCTGCCTCTCACATTTACTCTTTAGTCACTCAGACCTTGCTGAAGGGTTCCTGGGAGCAAGAGCACATTTTTCACTCTGAAAAAGTCCACAGCACAATTGTTGGTGACCAAATCTTATAGGACACAAACACAATTTTCTAATTTCATGAAGAAAAATACATCACACTGCCAGCATAAAGTAATTTCCCCACGGAAAGATTTAATACATTTAGAGCAAGAAATGATGGAAAATGCATTAGATCAGCATTAAATCAGCATTAAATCAGCATTATTCAGCATTAACTGAGCATTTTTGATTGAATAATGCATTTAATGTATTCATTTTTTCCTGGGGAAAATACTTTATGCTGGTAGTGTCAAAGAATACAACATTCTCTAAAATACACCGCTGATGCTTGATTGAGATCATTTGAGCCCAGAGCTTTCTGACTTCAATACAGTAGCTACCAAGATCAAAAAATAGAAAAAGAAACAGTGTTACTTGATATAATCTTCCTGAAAAAAACCCTTGGTCATGATACCCAAGAGTGTTACCATTCAGTGTGTTAATACCCATATGCAAGCATGTATCCTGATGAGCCAAGGTGCTTATCAATGGTATTCAACTTGTGAGAATATGAATCTTAATGACTGATCAACATATTAAAAGTGTCAAATCATGATTAAGATTCAACAAAGTAGAGCTCCCCAGTAAAAACATAATGAATGATATTTCTAATTCATACAACAACCCAGTGAATAGGCTCAATAAATGAAAGAAACAAGAAGAAACAGAACCACTAAAGTTAACTTTACACTACACCTTTACCACCCTCTACTTCTTGAAAATTCATATTTCCTTCACACAATCTTCAGTGATCAAGTTTACAGACCCACCTCTACAGTCACAATTCTACATCCTATGGTTCAACAGTGAGGTTTGTGGCCAACAGTCTTATAGTTCAACTCTCCTTGCTCTGCCACTTTTGAGTCAATTATTCCAGGTCATAGCACTCTCAGTAACTTCAAAATTGTATATGACAAAAAAGCACCCTTTGTTTGAAATTTGGAACAGGCTTTGAGAAAATTTACAAGGTCACAGTCCTTTTGTGATGTGAGTTTCTTCTTGAGGGCCAGGGCTTGCACATATGAATAGTGCTATCCACACAATGATAATGTCTGGAAGAGACCATTTGCCTGTCATTTCCATTGGTTTAGAAAAACTGGGCTCATTCAAATATTCTCTATCAATGATCCTGATCTTTTCCATGTTTCTTGATACAATTTCAAATACATCTTTTAATCTGTGAGATTGAGGAGTTGATCCATATTAGTCGTATGTCATTATCACTTACTGATTGGAATTTTGGGAATAATAGGTATCGAAGTAAATGATGTAAATGATGTAATTGTTGGGGTTGGTTTTTTGATGGATATATTACGTTAATTGGCAATACAGCTTTATCCTGTTGGCTATTCAATTCAATTACCAGTACCTCTTTCTCTTTACCCCCTTTTGTCTAGATCTCCAAGTTCAGAGTACTTTCAAGTATCATCAAGAATCATACAAAGCCTCTCAAAGCCCACCCTGGATTATATCTGGGAATGCTGTAGTTGTCCAAAGGTGTCAGAATAAGTATCAGTTAGTTGCCACAAGTATATACAGAATCAGGTATTTGTTGCTCATTTGTTTGTTGGTATTGTTTTTCAGAAAAATAGAAAGATATATAAAATCATTTCATCAGTGTTTTAAGAAAATATTATGTGTATACTCATCATATTTATAACTATTTTTTGCTTGTTCAGTCTCAGTTGGTTATTTCTTTTTAGCATTTTTGTATACATATATACAATGCATACATAAAGTCTTGTACTGCTAGGGCAAGGATTTTGTTGCATGCTTTCACTCATCAAAAAAACACCAGACTGACCCTGTACTCTGGCACCTACTTTGGAGTGAATAAAACCAGTCAGGAACTATTGAAAGAGAAACTATTCAATGTCCTATAGGATTTGAGAGCTCAAGGGACACCTACTGGCCATATAAATTTGAAGGTACCTACAGTCCAAGTCATAAGGATGGTGGATCTTGGAAAATCAAGGGAGAAGGAAGAATGGGACCCAGTGTGGTGAAAAGCTTGTGATTGTTTTGGGAAAACACCATGGAAGTACTGAGAAAGATCTATTAAAGCTCAAGTTTTGTGGTTCAAGTAACAAATTGTGGGTTGGAAAATTGTTCAATATAGTGCAAGTCATGATCTAAAGAATTGTATAAAACTTTTACAGGCTGGATTATATTGGCCAGTATGCTCTGGAAAGGAATGGGAGACCTTTGATGAAGTAACAAAATTGATGAAGAAAATGTGTTTGAGGAATAATGGATGTGATCACAAAGAACTGTGTAGATTGATTCCACCAAAGCTACTTCTACACAGGCTATGTAGGATAGAACATTTCTATTCTAATGAAGAGCTTGTATCAAAACAGGAAAAAGGATATGACACATTTCATGATGCTGCGTGAGGAGGTTTTATATATGGCAACTGAATTGGACTTGGAAAATTGTCCATCAGGTACAAAAGACAAGAAGGCTTGGGATTTTTTTGCAAAAATATCCAGGCTAAATGAGTGGTGTCAAGTCATTGAAAATTGTTGCTGATTGTATCTCGTCTTGCCCCTCTGTTCCGTCTTCAAGCCTTGGAATTCTGTGAAAGATCTTCACCATCACAAAATACCTCGAGTCAAGATAGTCATCGCACCTGTGGTTAACGTCCAACCAGCTTTGTACTTTTTCATTTGAGTTTAAATCTCTCTTGGGAATCACTTCTACAAAAACTAACTGTCAGAGGACGACCAGGAATCTCATCTGGCTTCTCCAGTTAGGTACTTGCAATCCCTCACCTCTCTCTTCTATCTCTCTCCCCCTTGATGTTCTTCTATGGCAGTTTTTGATGTCTCGCTATCTCTCGAAGTCAGTTGTCTCAAATCTTGGTCTTCCCAAGTCCAAAGGTGGGGTTGGAGATATTGATTGCACGAGTCAGAAATTGCAGGTGTTTGTGATTCCAAGCATTCCATTAGAAAAAAATCGGTCTCAAAGTCACATATATATGGCTGACATAGCTGAGATGGCTATGGTATCACTTCTCGGCCTCGGAGAGAAAAAAATGCAATGCACAAAAAAGCGATTTGAAAAACTCTGAGTCACATGAAGATTAGGATATCGCACAGTCAAATATGGCTATACTGATAGATACGCCTTGGAAGGGACGAAAATGCAAGACGTATCGATATGTTTATATCCATAATGGACACTGCCGGTGAGGCCTTGGACGAGGAAGTGATATCCTTGTCAAGATACAAGCTCCAAATCAACCAAAGTTCGATCTTTGTTCACTTTGTTGGTCATTTGAGTATGGAGACAGGACTGGGATGTCACTTTTGGATGAAGACTGAAGTGGACTTCTCCGAAACCTCTCACAACCCATGAATGAGCTCTATTATGTTATTACATAAAGGAATCACATACACTCGCTTGAAAGATTCCTATCCAACATTTTTGAACTTGGTTGTTTTCCTTCAAAGTTCACCTTCACCATCAAGGCTCAGCAAAAGTTTTAAAAAAATCGATTAGTATTCGATCACCACTTCAACCGTCAAGACAAAAATGTCAGATCCACCATTTTATAAACTCAAATTATACCTCAGACCAACTACAGCTTTACCACTCCCTTCATTCGCACCACTCGCACTAGCTTGCCATTTATTAGATTCACATCCTAATTTAAACTTAAGCATCGATTATGAAGATGGTTTAACAGGTTCTGGAAAAGATAAAAGTTGTGTAGTGATCGGAAGTGATGAAAAGATCGTATCAACCGATTCTCTTGAAAGCTTAAAATTCTTAGCCATCAATTTTTCAAAGCTTGAACCAATCTATGGAACCAACGAATCAGAAAAATCTCAAATAGATAGCGTGATTGATTTATTCTCAAAGTTATTCGAACCATCGGCATCTAAAGATATCACGGCTATTGGAGCGGTGGCTGATCGAATCGATCAATACTTGACCCTTCGTACTTTTCTTCATGGCCATCGGATTTCTATTGCGGATCTCGCTCTATGGGGACTCATCAAGTCTTCTAGTACCTTCTCTGCTGTGCTAAGAAGATCTCAACATGTTCATCTAGCCAGATGGTATGCTTTCATCGACGGTTTAGATTATACTCTCAAAGCTGTTGGCAACTTACAAGAAGAAATCAAACATGCGGCTAAAGGTAGGGCTAAAGCTGGTGTAGCATCCGTCAACTTTGATGAAGGACTTCCAGGAGCAGTTAAGGGTCAAGTGGTAACCAGGTTTCCACCTGAACCCAGTGGTTATTTACACATCGGTCATTGTAAGGCCGCAATCCTGAACCAGCATTATGCCAAGATATACGACGGTAAATTTATTGTACGGTTTGACGACACAAATCCTAGTAAAGAGAAGGTCAGCCATACCTTTTTTCAAAGATAGTGAATTATTACTTCAATTCAACGCTAAACTAGTTTGCTACATTTCTTTGGCCCACAGGAAGAATTTCAAGACGCGATTTTGGAAGACTTGGAATTATTGGGTATCAAGGGAGACTCGATGTCCTACACATCCGATTATTTTGAGCAATTGTACGGATTTGCGATTGAGATGATCAAAAAAGGTGCAGCGTTCTGCGATGATACCGAACAAGAAGCGGTAAGTACTTGATAGGGTTGATTAAAGTTCATATCTACGCGGTACAAAGGCATGATAAATTTGACACGCCTGATCATATAGATGAAGGCAGAGCGTATGGCTCGAGAGCCTTCTAAGCGTCGAGATTCATCTGTTGAGGAAAACCTGGCTAGATTCGAGGAAATGAAGAAGGCGACTCCGGAAGGCGTTCGTTGGTGTCTGCGAGCCAAAATCAGCTATGATAACGTGAATGGAACTCTTAGAGATCCTGTCATTTACCGATGCAATCTCCTCCCTCACCACAGGACCGGGTAAGCCAAATAAAGCTCTTGAAGCATTACTTGAAGATGTAGACTAATTTTTTGTACGGGTGGTTTGATCACAGCGAACAGTGGAAAATCTACCCCACTTACGACTTTGCTTGCCCAATAGTTGATTCAATCGAAGGTGTTAGCCATGCCTTACGAACCAACGAGTACCGTGACCGTAATCCACAATATTGGTGGATGCAAAAAGCTCTTGGACTACGGAAGGTGCAGATCAAAGATTTTGCGTAAGTAGTTTGATATATACGTCTGAACAAAATCGTGATTTAGTCATTGATAGCCAATGTATCTCCAGGCGAGTTAACTTTGTATACACCTTGTTGTCCAAGCGCAAACTCAAATGGTTCGTTGAAACCAATCGAGTCCGTGGCTGGGATGACCCACGATTCGCGACTGTGAGAGGTAACTAGAGCAGCCTCGCCTTTGCTTATTGATAAACTGCTGATTGTTTCGTTCCGAAGGAATTCGAAGAAGAGGAATGACTATTCAGGCCATGCGAGACTTTATGATTGGTCAAGGGGATTCACAGCAGCAAGTCAACATGGAGTGGGATATCGTTTGGAGTATCAACAAGCGTATCATGTGACCCTATTGTACCCCGACACACGGCGGTGTTGAACAAAAATGTGTAAGCTACACACAGTGATCGTGTTTCCTGATAAGAGTAAGCAATGATCTTATATATGGCTCTATCCAGCGTTAAGGTAGTCATTTTAGGTGGAAAGGACCAGTTTCACACTGAGACTCTACCAGCGCACAAAAAAAATCCGGACGTTGGTACCAAGATTACTACATTCGGCCCTGTGATCTACCTCGAACAGGAGGACGCGCTGAGCTTTGAAGACAACGAAGAAGTCAGTGTTTTATCTATTATGCTATCTCTCGTGTTGATCTGACATCTGAAACCCTGGCACACGCAGATTACTCTGATGGATTGGGGAAATGCCATCGTTGGTACCAAGGTTACTGGAGAGAATGGTGTGATCACAGAAATCCAACTGACCTTGCATCTAGAAGGGGACTTCAAGAAGACCAAGAAAAAAGTACATTGGTTAGCGGCTGTTGATCAGACCACTCCGATCGCTAAAGATGTTGGACAAGGTCTTCAACCGGTTGTACTTTTAGATTACGATTACCTGATCACTAAAAGGAAGATTGATGATGACGATGAGATTGATGACTTCATTACTCCTGTGAGTGAATTCAGAGAAGATGCGATCGCGGACGGTAACATGAGGAATTTGAAGAAGGGAGATATACTTCAATTCGAACGTAAAGGTTATTACATCGTTGGTCAGTTGGTTCTTCAAATTTCGAAATCTTATTTTAGGCACAAGACCGCTGACTTGATCCTTGACCGCACGCGTACTCAGATAAGGCACTTGGTGAACATACTACGTTGGCTAATGGCAGTGGTAAAGATTGGGTAGAGTTAATCCGGATCCCTGATGGCCGTGCAGCTGGTCTAGCAAGTAAAGCTACGCCTGCAGCACCCGTCGCCGGAAAGTCTAAGAAGGCTAGTGAGAAGGATGGTCAAGCTGGGAAATCCACAAGCCAAATGGTCAGTCTAGCACGAGACTGAAAGTCCGATGTATATATCTGATATGATTACATCTTTTTAGTATAAGGTCGACCCCTTCTATACGAACGAAAGCTTGGTAACTGCGACGACGACAAAGATGTATTCAGTACCCAATATATACCAATGAAGTGAATACAAAAGTCTGATAATGCTCATTTACAAATTATGAGCATACATGAAAGTTTGACGTTCTTGATCCACAATGAGCTGCAAACTTTGGTTCTAAAAAGCGCGTCAGATTAAGTTCAAAGAGAAGGCTGGAGGACTTACTCGCGTCGAAGAGTTTGAGAGCTTCTCTGTGATAAGGCTAGCAGCAAGATCATGACCCTAGGTTATGACCATGATGTGAATGTTCTTGGTCGTAATTTGCATGGGAGATTATGAGAGTCTCATGATGAAGGCCGCTTGAAGAGGATGTTTCAGCCCTAACCTTGAGAATCATATTGTATACTTGATTGAAATCCACGAGTGAGAATCATGAAAACTTTGCTCGTAATTTCACAACGAAGTTAAATGCTAAATATTACTTTTGTTTCAATGATGAATTCTTCAAGCATAATGTTTATTACAAGTTTACAACATACAAATCAAGATTCAAAGGGAAAAGGAAAAAGTGACATGAGCAGTTTACATTAGAATATGAAGATGAAGATGAGCAAAAGAAAGATATCAATGAAAAATAAGTATGATGATAGATGACAGAACAGAACTGCAAGAAAAAGGAGCTTATTATAGGCTTTAGGAAGTATCAGATAATTAGACTGCGAAGGTAGTATTCAATCTGATATCACGACTACTACTACCAACCCAAATCTTCATTTCTCCTTGAGGTACGACCCATGCTTGTTTTTTCACACTCCTGATGAAACCCAAAGGAAAGAAAAGATTGAGCAATTGAAGCTTTTTGAAGAATAGACTTGTGGAATTGATGACTAACCAAATCGAAAGATCAATAACTCTTAGTTTGATTGATACTGTGACACTTTCACCTGATTTGATCATCACACGATCAAATCCTTTGAGTAATTTCGGTGGCTCTTCTGCATGATCTGGAAAACCAACATAAAGCTACATATATAGGAAAAGACATTCAATTTTCAACAGTGCCAAAAAACGAAAAAGAAAAGAAAGGAGATGCTTACTTGAGATACCTCATGTCCATCCCATTTCCCGATATTGCTGACTTTGAAGTTGATTTCAATTGCGTCTTTTCTTGAACCTGAAAGCTCATTTGAAGTGAAATCCTTGATTAACCTTTCCAGTTGAAGGCTATCATAAGAAAATTTCGTATAAGAAAGTCCAAAACCAAATTCAAAACGAGGCTGTAGGAATCGAATTTTTCAAACATCAAAGGTAAGCAACTTGACAAATGAAAAGATTAAGAACTGTTTATCCAGATGGAAAAAAGTTGCACTTGCCTTTATTGAATGAGCATCAAAGTGACGATAATCAATTTCAAGTTTTTCTTTATAATCAATTTGAACAACTGTTTGATTCGATTCATAGATTATGTCAGCAGGATAATCTTCACGACGTTTTGCAATCGTAAATGGTAATCGAGCGCTCTGTGCGATTGAAGTGAGTTGAAAGGGAAAGATGACGGAAAAGATGACAAATAGTCAGATAGCATGGGGAAAGAGAAGTTGTTCATCAATATCTGAAGATGAAAACAAACGCAGTGAATGAAAAGAAGTAATACTGACTGGGTTCACTTTACCCCACAAGACGTCGACCTCAGCATTTCCACTCTCCTGACCTGGAAGTCCAGCATAGACTACCGCAGTGACATTAGGATGATCGATCCAAGCTTCCATCAAGACTGGACCAACTGAATGAATCACTACCACCGTATTGGCGCACATCTTAGCAGCACTCAGGATAAGTTTATCACCTTCATGCCAAAGGTATAGATCATTACGATCTCCAGCATTTCCTTCGGTTTCTACTTTACCTTCTCCTGAATCAGCACTAACATGTACAATTGTAAGTTCAGCAATACTTGCACTGGCTTCTATACGCTCATAGTTTGTATCATTGAGGACAATATCGAGATTGATATTAGGGTGATCCGCGTGAAGGTAACTTCGTATAGCTGAAGCTGGACTGATGAGATAAGGATAGATAGCTGAACCTGAACCCCAACCACCAGCAAGTGTACCTTCATTACAATTTCGGTCTTCACAACTATTAGCACCATTCGGATTATCTCCAGCATCACTTCCTAGAATGAGAATCGATTGAAGAGATTTAGGTGCTTTCAAAGGTAGAGTTTGATTAAGATTCTTGAGAAGAATAGTAGAAGCTGAACCGATCTCTCGAATTAGTTTGTGATGATCAGCTTGAACATTAACGTGTTGATTATTAGCGGCTTGTTCAGCTTCCGTTCCTTGTCCTACACTTTGAAAGTTAAGCTTTGGGAAGGATTCTTTATCTTGACCTCGTTTATAGTAAGTCGATATGACTCGTTGAACCATATCATCTATTCTACTCATCGGTACGGATCCATTTCGTACGGCGTCGATGAGTCTAACACCCCAATAAGAGCTTGTGGCTTTAGATGGATCTGGCTCTGAGGGTAATCCAGCGTTATAGAGCTCCCAACCTGGCATGTTCATATCTAATCCTGCTAGCGCTGTTCGTTCGGTAGTAAGGACTGCAGTCCAATCAGATAGAAGCACACCTTGAAAATTAAGCTCTCCTTTGACCAAGCCATTCAAAAGTTGAGAGTTTTCGCATGTTTGGGTCTGGTTTACTGCATTGTAGGAACACATCAAGTAGTCTACCCCGGCTCGAACAGATTCTTCGAATGGCCAAGCATAAAGTTCACCTAAAGAAATGATTGCACGCGTAATGTTATCAGTCAAGTGACGAACACAAGCTCGAGGGGTGATCATTAAAAGAACTCAACGAAGTGTTCGATCATCAATATTTGAACTAGAAGGTATAGAGTCTGAACCACCTCTATAATGCTCTTGCTCATTACCGACAAAATGTTTAACACAAGCTGATACATGCTTTGATTGAATTCCTAAGATAGTTTCAACTGATCCAACTCCAGACAAGAATGGATCAGCTCCGAATCCTGTGATCACACCATTTCGCGCAAAGACAATCAACTTGGATTAGTTTCTGAACGTTGGAACTTGAAATGCTTTTTGAAAAAATGAACAAACCTTCCCAATTTCTTCCAGCCAGGGGTGAGCGCATCAAGTTGGTCATTGGTCCTATACACTCGAAATTCAATCAGTGACTTTATACATCAAGACACGAAAGATTCGAAGAACAAAAGACTCCGTACCTAAAGCTACATGAATCCCTTTACCAGCAAATTCAGCACCAAGAGCAATTGCACGACGTCTTATTAAACTTCGATCGAATGTGGAAGCTACATTAATCTCAGCAGGAAAATAAGAAACCAAATCAACAAGTCTTACACCAACAGGTGCATCTTGTAAACAAATCGGTTCATTAAATCCTAATCTTGGAATCGTTCCTGTTTCTCCAACACATCTTTTCTCAATTCCAGCTCCCGTTGTAATATTAACTACGAAAAACCACACACAAATTGTAATTCATTCAAAGTTAAAACTTTGTAAGCAAAATTCACTTTGGATTATGACCTATTTGATGCAGATACTTAGTACTTACTCTTTTCTTCAAGGGTCATTTGGGATACTAATTTTTTTGCGCGTTTTAGACTATCTTCCCATCCTTGTGATCCATCTTGTGATGGCGATGGAAGACTGATGATACGAAATTTAATCAGAAAAACACAGTCTATAAGATAGAGACTGAGTTAAAGACCAACACTGTAGGAGATACCCATTCTTCGTATCCTGGCGGGGCTTGGATAACTTCAAAGTGATAATTTGATGAATCAACATTTGAAGTACTTTTATCGCTAAGATCAATTGATTGACGTGTAGCAATAGCTTGATTTATAAAACTTGGATAAGAAATTCTAGCCAAGACGCTTAAAAAGGTAATGTAAGATTGAGTAAGCATGATGAAAACTTGAGATGATGGGGTTTGTTTCGAAGTAATCATGTTCCATGAAGCCGTCTTTTATAGCAAAAATCAAAGTCACAGCAAGTAGAAAGAATCAAATCATACAAAAGCCAAATTGAAGAAATTCGATGAGAGGTCAAGTGATCGGATGTCATGATTCAAAAGTCATCTTTGCAGATCAACACAGGAAATGCCCTCAAGACATTGATGTGGTTTGAGATTCAAGAAACAATCTTGTAAGAAACTGAGACGTTGACCGATGAAGGAGAAACATTAAACAAGCCTACCAGTTCAAAACCGTAATAATCGCTCGACTCAATGCCAAGTGGGAAACTCGGCTTGAATGCATTCAATCAGTAGCAAATAGTGATTTAGAGGATTGGACACATGTTTATAATCGCTGTAAAGAGATGCGATGGATTCGGAAAGATTTGATATCTGATCAGCAGTCTAGTACTTGCACTTCACACATAGAACTCACCTGACCACACCTCAATCAAGAGAAACGATGATATACCATCCTTTAGAACCCGCTCACTTCCTCCTGACGGCCTTCTTTGCTATGGGACTCCTTGCTGTGGGTATGGAGAAGTTTAGACTTTGGAGTGATCTTCCAGATGAGCTAAATGAATCATAAGTTTGTTTTGAACCTCCTCCAATATAACCTTGAGGAAAACCTTCAAGGAAGATGATATGTGAGTCGATCAGCAAGAGAAGTCATAAGCGTAAAATCCTGGGCCCCCCACACACGGATCAACTGACCTCTCTCGATTGAAGGTTGGAAGCTTAAAGTCATTATGACATCAGCCTCACTCACGTTCTTAAACAAGTCAATCCTCTACGACGCAGATCGGAATCGAAGTGACATATGGGCTTCGATGGCAGTGAATCAATTTACAGCTTCAGATATGCAGTGTGAGACGATGATGCATTTTATTGATACAAAGCTGGAATCCTCTGAGACTATGGAAGTGTGGACGGGGGGGAGAATGTTTAGCAAATGCGGATGGTACGTGGAGTGGAGTCCGTTGAGCAAAACATTTGTGTCCTTGGTACCAAGTCCCTTGATTGTACATCACAATGTTTTGGAAAAATAGACCATCCAGCAAATTGTACCGTTTTGGGTCACGGAGAGTGAGAACATCATTTTCAATTTGTAAGTGGTGTGTATCGTGATCTCGAACAAAATTCTGTATATTCTGCGTGAGGCAAATTTTGTGAGAGGGCAAGCATAATGCTCAAGATAGAACTTTCTGAATTTTTCGCTTTTGGACGGCTGCAGAGAAGACAGCTGAAAAGTATTTTCACATTTTTATTTTATTTCGAGGGATGACAATATTGCGTAACTGTGCTTTTATATATATATTCATTCATCATGACAGACATAGATAGTGCTGCCTTCGGGGTTTGTTGGAGCACAGCGTTTAAAAGGCATCTGAGGATCTAGATCTCGACATCACACAAACACACAAGACAAGAGGGAAGAAAAGTAACATAGCGAGGCTGGTACCACAGGGCACATTCAATCACTCTCGTCATCACTCTCACTTTCGCTCTCGCTACTCGAACTAGCATACTCGACTGGTCCGGCAGGAGGTGGCGCGCTCTTTGCAACCTCAGCAGATGCTGCTGGTAAGGTGTCAGTGGGTTGAGCAGCTGCTGGACTAGTATTGAATGAATCGAGTTTGTTCTCGAGCAATTTAATGCGTTCAGCTTCTTGATGTTCATCAATTCCTTTGCGTGGGGCTCCTTTCTTCTTGGGACCGCTGGATTGACCGTTCGCCTTGGCTGTTCCTTTTGGTTTGGGACCGGGGGTCTTCTTCTTCTTGACGGGAACGGGAATGGTTGCTTGTGGAGGTGTTGGATCTGAACACACCAATTGATAGAGTCGGTATAGTGTACGGTCGTCCAGCGCATCAATGTCTAATTCGATCTCTTCTCCATCGGGCTAAATGACATATTGAAAGTTAATTGAATGCCATCAATGATGCTATAGCACGACAAAAAGGATTCATAATTACGCACAGTGACTAAATCTGGATGAGCATTACGAATAAGGTTGATGGCTTCCGACTGCATTGGTTCAACTGCGTTCTGAATCATGGTAGCTAAATCTTTCTTCTGCTCGTAGTCAATTTTTTCAAAGTATTCGGGTTCGAGTTGGGATTGCGAGACGGCCGCATTAGATGAAAGGGCGGCTTGTTGAACTTGCTGTTGTTGATAAAGCTGTGAGTGGTTCTGCGCGCGCTCCTGTAGTTGCTGAGCAATCGGTCTTTTAGCATTCGCAGGAACTGCTGAGCCAGGGATAGATTTCTTGCGACCACCTGGGCCTTTAGCCCTAGGTCCATTGGATTTGCTACCCCTGGCTGCAGACATTGGCAGGATGGATGCGGAGGCAGGCGTTGTTGTATTGATGTTGGCGAGGTTTTTTGCAGCGGTGGCAGCTTTCGAGGTAGCCTGTTTTTTGTGCGGTGGCCCTGCTGCTAGGGGAGCAATACCGGCCGAAAGGATCTCGTTCTTCGCTGTCTCCTGTTCCAAACGCTCCTGCAATCGTTGCATCTCCCGGTGAATCTTCTGCAACTCTGGTTCCATGAAGGTCAACAAAAATGGACGTCAGGCCTGTTCAAAGGAGACGCGTTCAGAAGACATAGAGTAAACCCTCGTACCATTTAGGTCGCCGATTGGCTGCGTACTGTTGGTGGCTACTGGTACTTGAGCTGGAACAGGGACTGGAGCAGCAATGGTGTCCGCTGGACGCTCGTGCCATTTCTGTTCGAAGAGACACTCCAATTGTTTACCAAAATTGTACACAGGTGTACCGACGGGATTGAACGTGAAGCAATTGTTCAACATCAAACGGAAGTCTGCTGCAAAAGCTGCTCCCGCTTTGTATTCACCCCGGTCGAGTTTCTGTTTAATGGTAGATAAGTCCATGGGTTTCTTGATTATTGTCAGATATTCAGGAACACCAAGTTTGACGGGATCTGTGAAGAAATGAGACGGCAATGTAAGCATTTACACAACACAGATGACCAAGGAAAGACGACTCAACCAACTGGTTCATAAAATGGCCAAACAAATTTTTCATAGGCCTTTTTATTCACTTCCCTGAGCACTTCTTTACAAAACTTGAGTTCTTCTTTCGTGTTGTGGATCATCATCAGCTGGCCAGAGGTTGCTTTTCCTGTTCGGGGGGGGTGGAAAGTCGAATGAGTGATAATGCCGCATCAGCCAAAGAGAGATAAGCTCACGTTTATTTTTGCCTGTAGTTTCACCATCGGCCAAAATTGCAACACCCTTGGTGCGATTAGGCTCAACTGCCATCGAGTTCCTGCGACCGAAAACAGCTGCTGTCGATGCCCCATCATTTTGATAGGTGGCTCCGGTTGGTGTGGCATAGGCACTAGTTTTAGTAGACTTCTTACGGCCCTGTTGAGGAGAAATGGATCTTCGCTTCTGCCCCATTGGAAGTAGAGGAGATGCACCAGAGGAGCCAGCCACAGGTGAGCTGATTTTTCGTTTGAGGCCAGCAGTCAAGCCAGCTTCGTTAGTAAGTGTCGACACACTGTAAGATTTCGGTTTGGCGAGGCTTGGGCTACGGCTGGAGAAGGATTGAGTGGGCTCTTCGGAGGGGAGTTTCTTCATCTGGCTATCGAACAGGGCACTGAGGTCCAAAGCCATGCGAGAGATAGTAGATTCATGTCCGTTGTAAGTATAACAATTGTTGAAGATCAAATTTACGTCGGCGATGAACTCTTCTGCTGATTTGTAGTAAGATGGCTTCAAGGCTAGAAAACAAAATCAGTGTCATGAAGAGGTCAGATAGGCAGGACATCATTTAACAAGCCCGATATTGTAGAGTATGCGGCGAGATAAGATGAACTTACATTTACCCAGCCGAGTCTCGACTGTAGCCAAGTCCATGGGATGTTTAATAATGGTGGGGTAGTCAGGAATCTGTAGCTTCTCGGCGTCAACTGGATGCAAGAATGGCGCCGCGAGTTTCTGCTTCTTCAAATACTTCAGGACACCAATGGCGAATCGATGTTGATCGCGGCTGAAGCGGGAACCAATGGAGCCGGGCACAAGCCAGTCAACCTGCGATCCGTTCGACATCCCTGGCGAGTCCATGTGGCCAGTGCTATCTGACATTGAAGTTTGAAAGGCGAGAGCAGAGCCGGGTGCGATTTGTGAAATTGGTTGGGCGTTGAGTGAGGGCAAAGGGGATTGAGAGGTGGATGAAGGATCTAGGATGACTTGTTCTTGGACGACGTTCAAGGCTTTAGAACCATCTCCATTGGCTGAAAGTAGACCGTTTCCATTTACATGAGCAGGCGGAACAAGAGGAACGCCATTGTGATGTCCGTGGAGTTGAGCAGTTGTCTGAGGAGATGGACTTTTGTTGACCGGCGAAAGGGGTGGTGAAAGGGAAGATGTGGTCTGAGCAGGGTATTGGACAGAGTCGAAAGACTCATTCACATGGTTGGCCAAAGACGCGCTTTGAGCAGGACCCGCAGACGGATCGCGGACGGGTTGCGGACTTTGTACCCGTGGATCTGAGCCGCAATCACTGGTGCCGTGAGCTGATAGAGGAAGAGAAGTGCTCGTAGTGGGTGTGGGAGATGAATGGGAGGGATGAACAGCAGCTTCTAGGGCTGATGAGGAAAGCTTCGTGAGGTCCTGAGCTGTGTCGACTGAGCACTCAGCAAGGGCCGGTGTCGGGTTACTGACGGGGGGAATGGTACTTGAGGTGTGAGATGGATGATCTGCGGAGGGAGCAGCGACTGAATCAAGCTTAGGAACGTCCTGAGCGGCGGGCTGAGTGGCTTCACAAGTCAAGGACGGCGGCAAAGGGTTAGTGACTTGGTCAGTAGAAGCTGCGAGCGAGGGCGGAAGAGTTATATCAGCTGATCCAGTGGGCGGGACGGAACAGTCTTCATCGGCAGGGGACAACGGAGGTGCAGTTTTGGGTATTGATTGTGGCACGGACGACAGCGAGATCGGCTGGGAATTTAAGAGCCGCGGTTGCTGTTCAGATTCGACAGGAGAGATGGGCGAAAGAACCGGCTCGCAATCGGCCGAATCAGCCCCGGCAGTGCCAGCTTTGGGACTTAGAGGAGGGCCGCACGGGCGCGATGAGGGTGAGGTCATTTCAGCGCACGAGGTGGGTTGCATCGATGCCTGATTCGTTTTGGATCTAAGCGCGAAGGAAAGAATAGACGGGACAGTGTGAATGTGAGGGACGATGAAAGACCCAGATACGGAGAAGACAGGGAGAACAGAAAACTGAGTGGGATTGAGGGAAATGACTCGAGTTGAGTCAACACACGATCGCCAAGCAAATGATAACAATCGTATGAACAAGCTTTGTGATGCGAAGCTGAGAACGGCTCAGGCAGATATGACAAACAAGGGGCTAGATCAAGTGCCAACATGCGCAGGGAGAACGGGTCATCCCACGCCATCATAAAGCATCAGCGCGACCGACACATGTGCCTGGTGAAGAACAGCTCGCAGACAGATGGTGTGCTTGCGAGTCAGGATAGTCAACAACCGCGAGAGGCGCGGACACGTTGAGGATGAAAAGATCATGATAGTAGACATAGGCCATGACACTTCGCCCTCGGCGTCATCGTGGGCGCTTGAAGCAGGAGAGCTCGAGAGGTGAACGGAACAGAGGGTGGTTTCAGGGGACGTGTCATACGAATCGCTCAACACGCGCGAAGACTAGATTCGCGTTGATGTGACGCGTAGCTATTCAGAATGCAAGATGTCACTTACCCATCACGATCTGCGACCACATTAGTCTCTACGCTTCGTACCATCTCGGTGGGTGTGGAAGCAGCCACGTCCGGTACGGGGGGATTGGAAGGATGTGAGTCAGGGGAGGTGAGCTCATTCGAAGAGCTCAAAGTTGGTTGTGCAACGGATTGTAGTTGATCGGCCATCTTGATGAACGCGATCGATCTGCCGGTATAAAGGACAGAGAATTGGGGTAAGACTCAATATTGCAGATGGCAGTGAATTGATCAAGGAGATACAGCCAATGGATGTAGGCAGAGAGAGAACCGGAAAGAAAAAAAAGTGAGGTGATCGCTGAGTGGCATGTGATCAAATGGCCGAAGTGAATTGAGGAGTGATGACGAAGGGGACAAATGTATGCGCCAGGCGAGGTTAAGGAGAATTGATCACAGAGGTGTGTAGGTGTGCTCAAGTTTCAATGAAATCCTTCAGAGTACAGTACGCTATGTGTATAAGGTCATAAGGAGGGCTAATGGTAGCCGGCACAGATGAGAGGTGTGAAAGGGGTGAGTGGAGGGGGTTAGGGCGGGGAGGACTTTGATCATACAACTGAGGGAGGGACGAAGAAAAAAAGGCGAACGATTTAAAGAGTCACGGAGAAAAGGAAAGACATACCGTGCAAATGAGAGTTGATGTTTAAGACCTTGTGAAGACTGAAAAAACGAGAACAGTGTTAAGGTTGATTCGCGGTGTCTGCAGAGCACTACAGACCTTGTGTGGAGAGACGGCTTAAAAAAAACCGGGATGATGGAGAAGGCGAAAAGGTGGATGGATTGGGGGGGACAATAAAATGGGGGAAAGGGAAGGACCGGGACACGATAGGGATCGAAAGGTCAATTTGAATACGACTGTATGAAAATCAAGGATCGGAAGAGGGCAGAGAAAAAAGAATTTCGTAGAGTCAAACAAATCACTGTATCACATTCAGGACAGAGGCAAGATCTCATAAAAAGAGGCACAAAAGAAGAACACAGCCGAGAATGAGATGAGAAAAATTAAGAGTTTCATCCAGTTTCATACTGAATGTGGAAGGGGGTGAGATGTTATGTACAAGACATTTTCGGTAGAAGCATACACATATGTAGGATCTACACGTGAGTTGTGTGAAATAAACGCTTGACGCAGTCACTGCGGAGGTTGACAAACGATGACGCTCAGCAAATACAGTGCACATCGAGCCGCACGACGTCGAGGAGAATGAAATACACGTGTTCCTCCCACGAGCTAGAACACCTTAAGTCCGGTCGGATGGCGTTGAACATCGAGTTCGGTGATGAGAAGGGGTGCTTAAGATATGTCCTTGGTGGTTGAACTGGTCTTGAAAGGCGTGCTATCATCGTTTGCATCACATCAGATTCCGACTTCCTTTGGATGAAAACTGTTGATGGGTTCCCTTATGAAGAAATTAAACCTGCCTTGCATCGTGGCATATGTACGACAAAGTGATCCAGAGGCAAGGATACTGATGCAGATCACGCCTGCGATATCAGGTAGTTGCCGGGATCGGTCCACAATGTTAGCAAGGGGCTTGAAGCCTTGAGCAGCTGTTTGTGCACCCGACGAAAATGAATACGATCATCTTGAAAAGTGCGGTGACGAGCTTCCGAGACCTAGTTTCGCCGGCGTCCTAAAAGTGCGACACAACACATCGAAGAATGGATCATTGGTCACAAAGCATCAACATCACTCGCCCAGTCGGATTTCTGTGCCAAGACCGATTCTTACTTTTTCAGGAGGGAGAATCCTTCAGCCAATGATGTGTTGAATCTTATCTGGGGCGAAGTGACAGCAGTAGCTGGAGCGCTGATTTGCCTGAAAGCCCGACTAGCTATGAGCGTGAAAATCTGCAGGTAACTTCACCAATGGTCAGTGGCAAAACAGGACAAGTAGATGATAAGATGATACGCAGCGGATACATACGCAATTCAATATCCGGACGGACAAACAGGCCTTTGAGCATCAGCTGCTCAGCTTGATGTAGCGTTTGAAAAAGACTTGCTGCGTTCCGGAAGATGGTAGCTTGAGTGTGTGAGCCAAGCAAAGACCTCATGACCGATGTGTTTGAATGTGTAGGAGGTTTGCGACGTGTGGTATGTATGAGTACCTCTCTGTACCTCTCCACAAGCCTGCACCGCCTGAAGTCACACATATAAGGCTTAAAACCCCGATCCAATCTTGCTCATGTTTTGCCGTCAAACGGTACTGGACTGTACCGAGTAAATCTGCTCGGGTAGGCTCATCCGGCTGGTCAAACAGAAATTAAATGGAAGACTGCTGCGGGTGTGCAGATCTATGATGTCAGACTTTGACTTTGGCTTTTAGTCAGACCATCATGGGATCAAACTGATGGCTAGTTTAGAGGTTCAAGTATGTAATTCCTTTTGTTGTGGAAAGTAGATAAATCCAAATGTGCTCCTCCATGAACAGCATATTTTGAGCCCAAGAGTCAAATGGAAAACAAATGGCAAAAAAGTCAGACATGCGCTTCAAAACATTTGTCATTGAAGTAACTTGGTCTGAGGTTGAGGTAAAATGTGAAAAAATAGTGAAATCACAACAGAGATGGGGATTCTCTAGCTGATTGAACAAGATTTGTGAAGAATTTCAAAGGTGGTATTACTATCTTTGATAGATGGCTAATGTTGAGCATCCAAAATTGCATCATTATGGTCTCAACCTGCAAGGCCAATGGTAATTCTTGTAGAGGCTCAGAAGTTGGAACCTCAAGCCTCATGAGAATAATACTACAATTTCTATCAGGTACAGTCAGGAATATATACTTTTCACATAAACATCAAGTTTGGTTGTGCTTGGTGAGAAGTTAGAATACTGGCAGCCATATTAGTAGATGCACAATGTTTTTTGAATCTTACTTTGACAGTGTTTGGAGATTTGTAGTCATTTCAAACCACTGGCAGTAGGTACAGTGCTATATTTTATAAATCCAATGATAGGGTTGAATAAGACATCAATTCAAACATGAATGCTGTTTTGAGGATGAGATAACCAACAATGATCCCTTATTCATAATTACTGATCTTCTCAAGCTCAGACTCGAGCAAGCTTCTTTCAAATCAGAAGGTGGGTACATTATGATCTGCTGAGCTATCAGGCAATTTGGACCAATGGTATTCAAAATTTGTGAAACAGTTAGTTTTCAGAAATGACATCCAGAAGCCATAATTTGCTACTACCTTGGAGCTTTCACTAGCTTTCTTGTTGCCACGAGATGATCACTGGGAGTATATTCTTGACGTAGAATTCTGTGGTCTCAAAAATCATGTATTGCATAATCAGGACAGAGAACCTGGTAGTTATATTTCCACATATTGGCTGAAGCCGCAGAGAACAGATTATCCCTGTAGCATTATATCAGAAAGCTGAAGGGTTTGAGTGGAAGAAGACCTTCTGGGTTTTCTGATACCAGGACTCTTCAAAGTGACCAGCTAACACCTGTCCAGATCACCTCTCTCACACTACCCGAAACTTAATATTTTCCGGGCAGAAAATTAAAACCCGGGTACTGTAAGTTGTGTGACTACAGAAAACTTTAAAAATCTGTGACTCAGATTTTTAGAAGATGATCCGATCATCCGTGGCTTCCGGAATTTAGCTAATCAGTATCAACTTACTTGCATCATAGCAATGACGCGATTTGATGTCCAGAAGATATGTGTAGCAATGATTTTATAATTGAGAAAGCTGACATGGCCATCGAATCATATCACTGTGGTAACATTTGTCTTTCAAAGTATCTTTGAACTATGTATATGAGCCAGATCAAAGTCAAACACCAAGTGACTCATCAATCAATCGAGTACATACCATTGAAGTGTGACTATAACCACAGGAGACGGCTGATACACTTTTGATTTTTAAAGTTCATCATCATAAATCCAACCCATACCCCCAGGTTAATTACTTCCAATACTCGGACATCAGATCATTCCTCGGCAGCTCGTTCCTTGCTTTCACTATGCGAAAAGCCGTCAAAAGCCTAGACCCCGATGCACCTGGTGTTGGTAAGCAAGCGATGATCGACTGGATGCACATCAACCATCCTATGATCCCCATCAGAACAAACGCTAGCAGAGACGAGATTGCGAGTAAGGTGAAAGCGGCCCAACCCGAGTGTAAGTCCACCTCATCACAAGTCCAGTCCATATCCCTGCTTGTTTCTTCCCTACGCAAAGATTGTATCAAATATCTTTAACTACAGACTCCATCCTTACTTTTGTTTACTTCCATCAATCATGCAGTATTCCCCAGTTCCATTATCAATGCGCCTCCTGTCGTACCAAGCCAAACATCAAAAGCCAGACGTCCTTCGATGGCTCAGACCTCCATTAAACCGGTCATACCCATGGCACCCTTCACAGCATGCGCACTACCTCCTTCCGATCCCTTGTTTTTGACTTCGCTTGGCAAAAATGAAACTTCAAAGAAGAAAAGGTCTCCTTCGCCCGACATCAAACCAGCTCTGAAAAAAGATATACCCGCAAAGAAAACTGGCTCTAAGACTAAGCTTAAATCAGCCAGTATAGGTTCTACGGTTTCGGTTTGTGCGGATCCTCCTAAAGCCAAAAAGAAAAAGGTTGGTACTATCCATATGTGTGTTTTGGATTTCGCTCATCAAATCACTTTCTCACTTTGTTCAAATCAAGAGTGTTCACTACCCCGACTTGGTCAACCTAGACCTGTCTAGCACCAGTTGCGATCCCCAAACTTTATCCAGCAAGAAGGCCACCATCACAACTCACCAATTCAAGATTGAACAGGAAGACGGGCTGATTGGCGGCTTGCCAGGCACAACTGACCACTCTGACTCCGCTACTCTGCAACAAAACTATCAACCTACATCCTACGTCCCGCTTGTTCCAAGACCGGATGCCAATGTACAACTTGGAGGCAAGATTGACAGTAATGACGTTGATGATTTGATCATACTGACACCTGTGAATTGCTTTGAATCTGAGAACACAAGTGAGTCAATGTTACATTTCTGGTTTTTGTTTAACCTGACCGTTTCCCTGTGTTTCAGTTGTTGGTAGAGATATATCTCCGATATCACCAGATACACCAAGATCGTCTATAGTGAGGTATGGTATTACATCTTCCGAAAAGAAGAAGAGTGGATCCGAAGTGTTTCAAGAAGAAAGACGACGGGTAGAACAAGGTAAGCAAGCATGCGCCCCCCATTCAATCTGCCTTGATCAGTGCGCTGAATCGAATTTATGTATGCAGTTCATATTCTCTTGGATCGTGTTGATGGTATGGAAAAGGTTATGCAGTCAATGCAAGAGAAAACCGATTCAATGGCTGATGTTAGAGCACAACTTGAGAATCAGTTGAAGGATGTGGAAGAACGATTCAATAACCGCTTGAAAGTGCTGGAAGATAGCTGTAAAGAGCTCAGTAGATCTTTTGACAAGGCTATGGAGGAGATTCAGGCTCATGATGAAGTATTGACGCGCTTACTCACAGCCGGCAAGGATGAAGAGGATTCAGATGAATGCAGCGCTCACGATGACTCCAGCTGTGACAGTGAAACTTCTTCTACGGCATAGCCATCCTAATCAGTTAGTATTGCTCTATATACATTTCTCATGAACAAAAAGCCTCTCATGGACATTGACGGTTCCTATTTTATTGAACAATCAAGATTGTAGATTGACTATCATCTAAAGGCGGCTCGGTGTGTATCTTACCAATGCAAAAGAGGAGTAGACATCAACACTGGCAATTTCCAGCTTGGATGATTTGTAAAGCAGTAGTCAACATTGCAACTCCTGTATATTTTCCATTTTTGAAACTTTGAATGGTTTTCCTCTGATAGAGCGAAGAAATTATATTTCCTCTATTTGAAAACAATCATCAATTGTGAATTTTTGATCACATATGTATACTATGTAACTCAAGGGGCAACCAAAGTGGCTTTCAACTACTTATCCAAATGTAATTTGAATTCATACATCAATTCACTTTTTTAAGATTTGTTTGAAGGGTGTTCTCCTGTCTCTCGCTCATTGAAGCGGGCAAATGTAATTATTAAGTATTAACATTTGGCTTTTGATAATGTATTATGCCTGAGGGCTGCATATAGTAAAGCTGGCTTTTAGTCGGCCAGAAAATCACTTGGTAAACCAATTGAACTACTAATTAATTAGGTATCTGATTGCTCGGAAAGCTCAGAAAATAGGGCAAACACACCGATCGCCAATCAAACTCTTACATTTAAGTACAAATTATATAATTTGTACGCATCATGTGCATATATCATTTGGAAGGTTCTGCACCATGACTCTGTAATTGAAGTGATAGGACTCAATCTCTGACGCCTCTGTAGGGCATGAGATCACAGCCTGAGATGAAAGGTCAGAAAATATGTATCATATTAATTTTCTAATCTTCTATGTATCTATTTTCATTTTCTGAACTTCTATCTGAGGCTTTGATTTATATATAAACTGAAATCGGAAGTGCAGATCTTATTTATTTTCTGACCTTCTATCTGAGGCTTTGTTCTATATAAAACTGAAATCAGAAGTGCAGATCTTATTTATTTTCTGACCTTCTATCTGAGGCTTCGATTGATATATAAACAGAAACTGCAGGTACAGATCTATTCATAACTATTACATACATATTGATTAATCAATTATGATGTTCTTCCATGAATGTTGATTACTTGATTGTGGTAAGCCCTTTTCAGATTATCGCTCACTGCCAGATAATCATATATCACCCTGCTTTCAAGAAAAGATTTGTGTGACCATCTTTTCCCATGAACGTTTTTTGATCGATCCTCACAACATGAGTAGTACTTCTCCAATTCAATCGCATATCTTTTTACCTACCTATCTTCTTGAGAGTGTTGTTGATGGAAACCCTTATAAAATTGATCCTGATTTATTCTTAAGTAAAGCTACGACTCCACAACTTTTGGAGGTTATTCATGCGTTTCATCCACATTTTTCATTTATTGATACTGCACAAGAAGATCGCGAGCTTCTCAAAAGAGTGTTTCGTAGCATGGTAGCCTTTCGCCTGTCTCGTATTCCCATCTTTAATTTACAACCGGAGCCTCATTACTTCAACGTCCAATTACCACATATGATTTGGGGACCTCAAGACTCTCGCACCACATTGACAACTGATACTGTCCTCAATCCTGATCGAATCCATGATTTCAACACCTTTGTTCTTGGGTACCTTCGAAGTGGCCAATATCGCCTTGCTGCCGAGAAAATGGTCAATTTTGTTCAGACTCACCAATACCTCAATGAAGATGAGATCTCTGAGATACAAGATACGGGAGAAGACATCGAAAGCAATGTTCAAGATCTTACATCATCCCTTGGAGAAGCGCACAAGTCCCTCGAAGGTATCAATTTTTCACTTTCCGACCCAGGCCTTTTGCTTCGAGACCGCGAAAAACTCGAGATGCAGCTACAAAGTGCAATTGTCTTAGTAAAATCTCGTCAAAGCATTCTGGATCATGCAATCCAAGATTCTGGATTTGTTGCAGCATTGATCGATCATTACCAGTAAGCTCTTCCATCTATTTTCAAACACTGACCGTTTTAGAATTGTATTTTGATTGTTTTGTTTGATTTTGAAAATTCCGTAGAAAACTCCTGGTCAAACATCATGGAACTCGTCCTCCATCCTCTCCATCACAAGATTCTCACCAACAACAACAAGTAGATCCTGCAACACCTTCTTCGGTTGAATGATATCAAATTAGAAATTTACTATACAATAGATCAAGCTTATATCTCCCGGTTGTCAATTCATGTGATCCACGAAGATCTTCAATGGATAAGTTATATTCGTGTATTTTTTGGTCTTTTGAATGCTATCATGCAAAGCAACGATCATACACAATGAGTAATTGGGAGTTCAACAGTCTTCAATAAGTACTTGATCTTTGTTATTTTTGCTTCTTTCCGATATATCCCAAACTGTTTGATGTTGAAATGTTACGTGCAAATGATGTAGGAAGAGGTTAGTGGAAATTTAGGATAGTGCGCTAGAGGTAATCCAGAGTTGTGACCCATTATTCCACGTTCTTTGTTTTGAAAAGTTGTGTAGTACACTTTCCAACAAGCGCCCAAGAGGTTGACTCGTGTGAAAGCCCAAATGGTAACTGCCTCATACCTCATCCTTGAATATGTACAAGAGGCTGACTTGATAGGCTCTAGCTCCGCTGCTTCAGGTGGCCATGAGACCTTTGAACGATTATTGAGAGTTGCGCAGAGTTGTGTTCTATCTGTACACAACTCGCAGAGGTAGGTTACCCGAGTTAATCATCACTGGTCAAGATTTCTTAATGATTTGATTGTCACAACAACGTTCTTATAACACCTTTTGTGTTCTCATAAGTTGATGTTTTCCATCGCAACCGGTTGGATATTGTAAGTTCATTGTGCTGACATTTTAAATGGAATTACTTGGTAACTAATGAAGCAAAACCCGGGTGACAGATTTTGGGGTATCTAGAAGTTTTCGCTGGTAATTGGTGTCCACTTGGTAGGGTGAGTTTTGCCTTTGACAACTGTGATCTGGATGCGAGTTGAATGACTGTCTCTTTGTGCTTTCATCAAGCTCAAAAGCGATGTGAACTAGTGATTGGTATGTATATACTGGGCGGTATCCATAACAGGCTTGTGCTTCTTCAACATCTCAACCACATCCATATCATTAGTTCTCTCTACCCAAGTGAAAACCTCCTGCATCTCCAGTGTCCACTTTCGTTTTGTGATCACCCTTTTCATCCGCTTGTAAATCTTCGAATTCTATATTGATCTATAATCCCAAAGCCAATCTCTATATGTAAGCTATGTCCTCAACACCTTCCAATCAACTTCCCAATCGTCGTAGTCAACGTCAGGCAATTCGAAAATCAACCGGTGCAGCAAAATGTGATGTTGGAGACTCCAGTCTTTCAGCGGCACAGCCAACCCCCGTAAAGAAGAAGAGGAAGAAGGATTTGGCTTTAGATACAGGTAAGGGTAATATCTTCAATGACTCACTGATCAAGCAGATTCCAGGAGAATGACATATACGGTTTTAAAACAGACAACCTTGACGCTGAAGCCTCCCTTGAGGCTGTTGGTGTATCAGTCGGCAAGAAAACGAGCCGTGAGCGACTGTTGGGGCTACTTGACAAGCATATCAACCCCAAGAAACCTCGGCTTTCGCGTCAAAAATCAAGATTTCCCTCAAAGAACGAACATCGAAGTGGAAAGCATCAAAAAACACTTCCAGTCGAGAATGAATTACATGTTAAGAAGGACGTAAATTACAACATCTATCATGAATCACAACTTGTTGAAATGCTTCAATCAATCGGTGTCAACACACGAGGTTTGGACAAAGAGGCGCTTGTCAAATCCTGCAAATCTCATAGTGATCTACGTATGTAGCCCTTCTATCGCCAGATTATCATTGGTACAGTGGCATACCATGTGTTGATATTTTTCAATCAGTCATACTGCCAGATTTTTCGGACCCAATACTCCATCAAGTTCCCTCAGAGCCTCAGTATCGTATGCCGAACAGACTGATGTCAATCAATAGATTGATTCAAGGGTTGTTGATTTTGTTTTTGTTTAGAAAACGTAGGCGCAACCTCGACTCAAAGCCCAAATTTATATTCAGGAGATATAGATTGTACGTTCATCAGTCATCAAATCTCATCAAATTGTATCAAAGTCCTGACTGACATGCATTTTGGGACAATGATGATAGCCTCGATGTTAGAGCCCGGATGCTCAAGCTCTGTCCTTCCAAGTCTTGAGAACGATTTTTTTGATGATAGTAATACGCCCCAGCCAAGTCCAACATCTCTAATCAACTCATCCGGGAAGCGTGGGAGCTGGAAAGGTAAAGGTAAAGGTAAAGCCCGCGCACCTGATGAGGGTGCACATTTTTCCGATGATCTTGAGAATTATCCCGAGGGATTGGACCAGGATGAGCAAACTCAACCTCCGATGAGTGCTCGCGGAAAATCCTCTTCTCCTGAGCCGACAAATCAGATGGGCCCTGATCACCGCGAACTTTCAGAACTCGACCGTCTCAAAGCACAAGTGGCTGAACAAAATCTTACGATCTCAAGGCTTGAGAACACCGTGAATGAAACAAACACTAGAGTTGAAGGTCTGGAAACAGGATTAAAGGCTGTATGCGATATTGTAGACAAACTTGCGGGGAAGTGTCGTGATCGAGCGGCAGAAGAAACTTCTTGTGGTGGCCGAATAGCAGTAAGTACAGCTTGTTGGCTTCCTCCAGTTCATCTAGGAACTTTACTGAACTTTGCGACTTCATTGGAGTAGTCTCGCATGTGTTTCCATGTCCAAACACTATTAGGGCAACGGGATAATGAAAAGAAGCTTCCGCGGGCTGCCAGTGAAGAAGAGAAAGAAGGTTGGATGTCTGACCAACCGCTGGACTCGTTCAACTTCAATGTAGATTTAAATTGCTTACCCTCTGACGCACAAGGAGGTTTTCCATACGAAGACGGACCTGGGAATCCTAAGGCTACCTCTCAGCAGCTATCTGTAATGTGGCAAATGATGAAAAAGGTTTCGGTGAAAAGCTTTCGACCCGACTTCTCTACCTCCGCCTCAGGCAAGGACAACAAGTGGTTATGGTCACTTGCCTTGAAGATATTTATTAAACTTGTTGAGTGCGGGGAGTATACTGGAATACCGCTGGGTGAGGAAGGAATAAAGGTTATCAAAAAGACTCTAAACTCTCATGTACAATCACTGATGAAAAGGTAAGTAACTCTCATGTGGCATGGATAGTCTAGTTGTTGAAATTTTCACGACAACTCATTGTGCTTGTCTCATAGGTTTCGCGAAGAGAACTGGGACGTCTCACGCAAAAAAAGAGCTGCAGACGAAGTCAGACAAAGCACAAGACTGCGACATGTGAGTTTCTGAGTTTCAAACATGTTATCTATGACTTATACCTGACAATAAACTAATTTGGCCGGGTCTGAAAAGTTTGCGAGATCGTGTGGTTCTTTCAAAACAGTGCCTATGGCCGCTTTCAGCCATAGTTCAGGTGGCTTGTAGCGACGACGAGACAGACGAAGAAGATGCGGCCGTCGGACCCAGTAAACCATTAAAAGTTCGAGAGCTACGCTGGCGCAGCTCCGCCTTGGAATTGCTGTGTATTCTTATTGATAACTACAAGACTAGTATTGACGAGAGTATTCCTGGGTTTTCACCAGGTCAGAAAGGCCGTAGCCCACGAACCCGCATACGGACTGATCATAGGCCTGTCAGTAGAATTGAAGCGCCAGTAGCATTGCCAGTAGACTGCTACTCGGAGGAATGGCTATCTGACTTGACTCCCTTGGCTCGTACACAACTGGAAATACACTCCACACCTGTGCTACAACCTTTCATCTCAACTATCAAATCTTACCTCGCTGGGTCGGGAAGCAGGCCCTCCTCTTAGAAACATTGTTGTATCTCCTCTCTTTTGATGTATCTTACTTTCAACACCGTACCATGAACATTACACATTAATGAAAAGGCTCTATATCATAGATCACCTAGATTTCTTTATATATATGCCAGCATAAAAATGGATCTACCAGTTGGTCAAATATAAATTTGTATATACATCTAGATGTAAAGTCATCTCTCCATTGATAATAGAGCCACACTTGGTACACTCAGTTGCTTGTGGAGCTCATAAGGCTTATACATAATCCATGCACAATGCGCCGTAACCTCTTGCAATCTGATCACAACATTTTCGGTTGGACCCCAAGCACGTAGATGAACTTGTACATCCGGTGCATCAACTTGTGACATTGGGTTAAACATTGTTTTTGGAAGAGCAGGAAATGACTGAACCAAAAGCCACGTGTCCATCAGGTTTTCGGAAGGTTTAGGTGATCGACGATGGACCATTATCGAAAATATTCTACCAAACATGTGTTTTTTTGTTGAGTTAGACTGAAATTTGATAAAACTGTTGTTTGGATTCCCAGTGAATGTTGAGAATTGAACATCCAGATGATCAACTTGATTGTAAAAGAAGGCTCGCGGAGGAAGTGGTGCGAGTCCAACAGTCTTGGAACCTGATTTCGTGCACCATTCATGTGGAAGTACCCATTGACACTTGTCATGCTTTTCTCGGTTTAAATAATCCTTTATGAGAGCAAGCACCTTGTTGTCGACTGGCTCAAACTTTGAATTCGAAAGTTTTTTTGGAACAGGAGGACGCGGGTCAAAGAGTGATTCAACTCTGCTGGTATAAGGCATCAATGGCTCAGGAAATTGGTTATCCTTCAGTAGAGCAGACAAGTTTCCTGCGCGGCAGAAATTCTTCATGAAAGTAATTTCCAGATCGCCTGTTTTGTAAAATCAAAAGCAAAATGAAGCAAAAGATTAACTTTCTCGATTTATGATTGGCAAATAGAATCCACATACCTATGTGATTATTGTGACAGCTTTTGAGAATCTTTCCCATCAAGCGCTCAAATGGAAAGGACCACCACGCCCGTACTGGACCAAAGCGCTCAAGACAATCAGCCAGATGGATGGCCATGTGGTGATTAGGAGCAAGATTACAATGCTGGAAGAGTATCATAGAGCTTTTTAAATATTCCTTGATATGATACCTATACCGCTCAATCCTCTGCGCTGTCATCACCCGCTTCAAAGCTAGATTCACAAGTGATACAAGATGACAAAAATTTTTCAGAAGAGATGTTTTTATATGATCTTGTCCACTCCATATTGGAATTAAAGTCAATGGCAGCTGAATAGTGAATAGATTACGCCACTCATCAGCCTTCAGCTTCCCGAAAGACGCTTTTCCAACCACCGGAATAGCTCGTTTGATCCAAGTTGGTATGTGAATCCTTGGAAGTAGCGCATTGATTTTGTGTAACATTTCCTTGTCAAAAACAACCTCATCTGGAGGTAGTGAGATCCATTCTGAATCCCATCCAGGATGACGCAACGGGTCATAATCCTCCTCGTTCAGCGAATCCGATAACGCAATACCATGTATGGTCTCCCCGCCCTGATGACCCGGTGGTTCCGGATCATCTAGGTCCGTAGATGACTGGTTTTGAGGCCTTGGAATGTGTGAATGTTCTTTCAAAAGATCCAGAAGCTCGGTGTTACTGATTGGAGGTATATGCTCCTCATCGTTCTTGACATCTGTCATAGCCCAAAATCGCCGAAGTTGCCAAGAGAGAAGACCAAGAAGCAAGTTGTGCATGGAATCCACAACGTGATAATCAATAATGTTGAAATACTCTAAGTCATTTAATACTGAGTATCGTACACCATGTGTTTTAAATATATCTTTCCTTTGGATGACAGTTTTTGCATCGCGGGCTTGATACGCCCAATCCTTATGCTGAGAACAAGTACGTTTAGGCCATGATGCTTGATCAATATTTGTAATTTCGTTTTTTTCAAGTAGACACATCGAGCAGAAAAACTTTGCAGTTGCACTGGGAAAACCTAGGGACCGCCTCACAGCGGGAATATCTGCAATGAAAAGTAAAAGAGCACCGTAGATAACACGTCCATCTTTGTACATGTGAGTCTGAGATAAAAGAAGTCCGTTATTCCATAGATCCTGAAGCTGTGTGATGATAGGTTTTAAAATCCAATTGGTGTGCTCGAGTGAAGGTTCGCGAGGTCCCGGTGCAATCCCAACAAGAAAAATGTTCTCTGGTCTATACCTCAATCTGACTGGTAAAGTCAGGCATATAAGCACCACAAATGTTATTGAATCGTGGTGGCCGCTCTGCTTATTTCCAAAAGGATTGATACCATCTACAAACATCCCAAAGGCTAGATTTCCACTTTGTGCGGTGAATTGCTGACCGTCTTTTCCACGGAACTCTTTCCAAACCCTGGACTGATGAATATCTTTTATTTCACTTGTTGTATCCAACGGCCGTCTTGACTCAACCAAAGATTCGTCAAGCCATTCCTCAAAGTTCGGTCGAGAGTATAAACGTGCTAGCCAATCAGACAAGTTTTGAAAAGCATACCGCCGAGTAGGAACTTCTTGACCGCGGACAAATTTTAAGAGAAGTTGTCCGCATTGTTCTTCCGAAAAATCACGCTTGATTTTAGGTCCAGGATCGAGGTCTTCAGGCAATATCTCAGTGTTCGCATCAGAAGTGTCGATGACATGTCCAGGAGTGCTAGAAATCAGGTGAGTACACCACTTTGGGGATCTTTCCAACGAGTACAACGCGAAACAGTTCTGGCAGCAGTTCATATAGATTAACAATGGATCAATTTGCAGCCATTTAATTGCGGTAGTGATGGTGCGAGGCATCCGTTTGAGTGTTGATAATTCCGAAAGATCAAGCTCAGAGCCTAAATTATTGGGAACTAGCCCATGTGTTATCAGTAGCTCAATGGATATCCGCATCATGTCCATGAGCCACGAAGCTGTTGACATGCTTGCATGATCAAATATGCTCAGCACTGCAGCAGTCACCGCAATGTGAAGGCATACTGGGTTAAAAGCTTTTAAACTGAACTTATGAAAGTGACCTGCAAGAACCAGTCAATTAGCTCAAGAATCAAATTCCGTGGGTTGGACATTCATCTGATTCAGTGATACAAACTTACTACAGTCATACACATCCAAACCCTTCTCTCGTGCTATTGATGCAGCCGCGGATACGTCAGGATCCAAAATTTGAGTTCTGTTACCTAAGTCAGCATTGGTGCTTGTATTAGTCGATTCGTTGATCATGTTTGAGAGTCTGTTCGAGTCTTCGAGACTCTCGCTTGTACTTGTTGCCAATATATCAGGCGAGTCGTTTGCGGAATGAGACTGTTCGCCATTTGAATCTAGTACCACTGGTGTGAAAGTGGGTCTAGAAGCACTTCTAGTAGGAGTGCGCTCGTTTGGTACACCAATACCAAGATTGGTTAAAGGACCAATCAGATCATCCCGGAGATCGATACCAGGTGATCCAGATGAAATCGCTGAACCATGCGAAGGCGATAGGGAGAGTGACTGGATCCGACTTCGCAGTTCAGCACGTTCGTGAGCTTCCTTTGTTGCTGGAAGGACTTCGACACCACGTTGTGATATGCCATGTGCGTCGATGTAAACGCTCTTATAGCATCCGGAAATTCGGCACTGGCAGGGCACCCTTCGTGGATCGGCTCTGGTAGCTTTTGGGGGCATGTCTGATGTATGAGCTATGTATCAAAGAGTCTAGACAGTCGTATCGATGTGATCACACTTCAATGTCTAGACACGAGTGTTGATAGCCTCTTGAACCAACCACTCAGTATGTGGGATGTATTAGATTTGATGTTCGGAACTTTTCAAATCGCCAGACAAGCCGATTCTTCGCGGGAAGTGAGACTCTAAGCTGAAAATGCACGTCTCAGAATTGAGAAAGGATGGTGCTTAATGAAGCATGAAGCATGAAGCATGCAGGACAAGATTCAAAAGGTGTTACAAATTTCAGAGTCAAAAAGAAAAAAACAGTCAATAGAAAATTGAGATAGAAGGAAACTAGTACATGTAGCTCATGAAGCAATCTGACACTGACTTTTTGATTGAATTGTAGGCCCTATAGAATATTTAGATGTCACACACTACATGAATCTGCTGATCACACGTTATCAGAAAATAAGAAATCAACCCGATGAACACTTATCAAAGTATGCAGTCTAGAAGTTGGTATGGTGATGTTGTACTCCAACATTCCCAATCAGAACGGCGGCTTCATCCCATACTCATCATCAAACCTTCCACCTTCAAGACAGCCATAAGTTATAACTAAGGTTTGAAAGAAGTGCATATTGATAAGTTAATTCATCTCACTTTTTGGACTTAACCAGGTCCTTGATGACCCAGTAATGATAACCTAAAACTATTGGTTCTGCGTCTTCGGCCAAGGGTTCTTCACTAACATATAAACGATAAATACTAATGTAATGTGCTAGCCGTAAAACTGGAACATTCAAAAAGAGTTCGGGGTGGTAAGCTTGAATAGCATGTCGCAGCTCGTTGATACTAAGTCTTGTCACCATTGTCTTCTGAACAGCCCGCGGTCTCTTTGAAAACTTATCTTTCTGAGGTAGTTCAAGGGTTGGATTTATGTAATGTTTGTAAAGAGCTAATACTTCGTCCTTGAGTGCCACTGGAGAGATGTTGACTCGGCGATCTTTCTTCGCAATGATACTTTTAAGCATGGCAATGGTTGTCTTGCGGTGAAGTGGGTGATAGTCTACTGTTGGATCATCAGTATCCATTTCTTCATCAGATGGCGGAGGTGGTGAGCAGAATGCGGATAGCTTTGGTAATAAATCATCTCTAAATGCTTTCTTCAATTCTTCTTTTTTGTCGGTCGGAAGCAAACTGGTTTCAGGATTGAAATGACGTAAAATATTGTAATATTTGAGCTTTGTGTGTTTATGCTTGCTGTTGGTCTCCCAGTCATGTTCAAGAAACGTTTGCAAATCTGGGTGAAGCTTCTGTACAGCACGGTATAAAGGATGTTGGGTGATATCGGGATGTTTCGGCAAGTTGGTAGAGTTTCGGGTTGGTGATTGATCAGTGGTAAAACTTGGGTAATGAGCATCGTGTGGCGAACTGATCTCGCCTTTGGCTGAAACAGGGTTGACATCCGTTTTGGTTTGAGTACTCCCTCCGCTTAACTTGAATCTAGTTTTCGGATCTGCTGCAGGGGTCTTGCTCCCATTGCCTGGCATTTTAGACCGAAGGTAAATGGTGACAAGGTTTTAGGAAGTTGTTCGAAAGGAATCTGTGGAGCTCAACTATTTGTGAAAACCAAACGGTTAAGTTTGAAATTATCAGTTGTGAGCTTTTCCACGATCTAATAGAGAATATAAAGCAGGAAAACACACATACGTCTATATATAAGAAATCATAAACGTAGTAATCACCCCTTGTCAAGACGACTGATGAACAAGCTTCGACGATAAAACTTGTTATATGATGATGAAGTTTTCTAATTCAACCAAAAATTGCTCTGATTGAAAGGAAGATGGAGATCGCGAGTTCGCCGGACTTGGTGGAAGAGGGACAAGACTAAGGTTAGATTTATACAATGAATGTCATGGTTCTGATCTATTTGGGCATAGCAAATCAAGGGCAATAGTCTGCTTGACTTGTCTTTATTGCCGGTATAAAAAACTAATTACATAACTGTAGTATGATCTCCCGTGAAAGGAAAATATTAGGGAAAATGTACATATGTAGTGGGGCTCACATGGATGCGGTCTTTTGAAATCAATGGCGATCGGTAGTATTTCATCCAACACGTTCCATGGAGAGCTTTGGAATTTGGAATCGAAACGCTGATGATCCCCACTACCGTAACAATCAGCTTCAGAGGAATGAAAGAACAACTAATCTTGTTGGTGCTTTCCTTTCATCTCGGGCTCATGTTACGGAATACATTGACGTGCCTCTCACAAATGGTGTTGGTGTTTGTCTAATTAGTACATGCTGTTTGCATAGGCGGGACCCTCAATGTGTAAAGTCATTAAAGCCACAGATAATTTCAAAATCTGAGTCACAGATTTTTAAAGTTTTCTGTAGTCACACAATTTACAGTACCCGGGTTTTAATTTTCTGCCCGGAAAATATTAAGTTTCGGGTAGTGTCAGCTGGAATAGGCTTGCACAAATATTATTCTGAACTCATTTTCAAATGCCACCCGTTTTCCCAAGGAGTTTTAAGATTGTGTTTTGACCAAGTGGCAATGTTGTAGGTGTTCTTTTGAAAATATTGGATTTGAGGCTGCTATAATCTTTATTAAAAGTATAACCTGATATGTTTGTAATGTGTGACACTAATGTATGTGGAGCATGAGGATCAGTCTGCACATGCTACAATCTTGGTTATATACTAGAACCATCTGCGTTTTAGTGGCACACCATTAAGCTCATAACGGAGACACTCTTTGTTTCACTGTAGATCAATGAAAATTTCAAAGTCATGTCTCTTCAAATTTTAGAATTCATGAGTACCCTATTAAAAATCAACGACCAGGTGATTTGGGGGTCTCAACAGGAGTCATTTAATTATTGTTTCCTGATGAGTGGTTGGGTTCAGGATGAGGACAAAACTAAGTGACTTGGTCTTGCCATGAATCAGATGAAAGCTCCTGGCAATCATTATTTTCAACAAGCAAGTTGACAGTTTGAGACCTGTTTGATCACTCAAAATCCCATCTGTTCAACCCAAACATCCAAAAAGTATAATATTGTGAAAGCTTTGTTTACCTGTCTATTATTTCTTTGCCAGCTATTCTGAGCGCTCCCCTTTATACCTTGTAAGTAAGCCAAAATAATACTGCAACCTACTTTCCTGTTATGGAAATCTTTTGTGGAAAACGTAAGTATGAGGTATGAGAATATGTATGTAGATCGTTGGCTGAGGAAATATGTAGAGCAAAAGAAAAATCACAAGCTGGCCTTACCATACGTCTAAGTAAGTATCCTTCAAGAGATGAAAACTTTATGTTGAAATTGGTCCAAAAAACTATTAACTCTGAAGTTGGAAATTTAAAGCTCTGCACAAGAGTAATAGTTAATTAACTTATAAGGTATCAATATGGCAATGTAACTTAACACTCTTTTTTGGTTGGTAGATCATTGAAATCAATTTCCATAGCGCTCTAGATGAAAACCCGGTGAGGAAAATTTCATAGGGTCATGGAATAAGAAATTCCTCTACAAAAGTCGCGTCCTGTAGCGTCCTGTGGTACCACCTTCCTTTTGTTGTATGTACAATTCAGGTGAGAATCAGATCTGTTCAGATGCAAGCCAAAGTACAACAGGGCATTAGAATGCGGTAGGCACTTATATGTTGGTTTTGGGGTACAGATTGATATAAAGGGATGAATCGTCGTTTATCTTCTTGGTGGCCCTTCATCCGAGTTCGATCAGGCTTCGTGATTGGTGATCTCGGGCTTGGGTTAAAATTCCTCCTTTGTCACGCGCCGATCGATTGTTGATTGCCGACAACAAAGACGAAAGAAGTCTTAACGCGTCGAAGCAAGCTTAGCAGAAACACCTTTGTGGAAGCATCAAGAGGATCTGTAGATGTCCATGTGCTAGTCTGTTACCTGGCCTACGCTGTGTAGATGGAAGCTTTGATGACGAAAAACCTTCGATCGTCTGATCAAAGTAAGACTCTCCTCACGCCAGATGCCACCCTGACTTTTTTGGGGTTTGATTCTTTGTGAAACATAATGATCCGAGACCTGCTTGGCTTTTAACTTTTCCATTTCCAATATATATATATATATGCAGCTTGTCAGAGCAATGATACCAATAAACATAACCCAGAGATAATTTCTAAGATGTTTTTCACCACTTCCTTATTTATCACACTCACTTACTTTATTCTACCAGTCATCCTACTTCCTTCTCAACACCCTACTCTGTCTAACAACCCTACTCCGAACCAATGTAAGATAGAGTATACAAGTGGATCATGTAAGTCAATGTACTTTTTTCCCTTTTCATTCATTTAAACTTCAAATCTGATCTTACAAAATTTCTTTTTTTTTTCGTCACTTAAAAGCTTGTAATGGATTACCTTGTAGTGGACCTTGTTATAGTAATCGATCAAAGAAGTCCAAGGTTTTAACTTCAACTGGTGTTGATTGTCGATTATCCAATGATACTTCACCATGTAACAACATCACCTGTATCAATTCATTAAAGAAAATCGAGTGTGTTTCGTACAAAAGAATTGCTCAAGAACATTACAGTCAGTCCTTTATAACTTCCAAATGACTCAGTTATTGTCACGAATCTTGATTTGGTTCTGACGGCGTTTTTCTTTTGTAGATTGTATGGACACCTTCTCCAACGCCTATACTTGTAGTAACGTATTCCATATAATGGGTAAGTACTTTTCAAAGCCGTGTCAGTTAAGAGGTAGCAAGTAAACTGATGAGATCCATCTCCTATCAAATAGTCTGTGACAGCTGTGCGCTGAACCTTCCCAGCTAAAGAATTTCTCGTGATTTGTCTTGATCTCTCATTCATCACATTCTTCATCTTTCAAAGTCTGAGCCTCAAGACGATTCCTCAAACTCAGATAGATAAGCATGATTGCCGAATTTCTAGCTATCTCGCATTTGAATGCGTCTTGAATGACTTCTCTTTCCAAAGAAGATCACACAACTTTAACTCTTGTACACATCATAAACTTTTTCAATGATTTTTTTCTTTTCATATTACAATTGCTTTAAATTTATTCACTATATATACTTTTTTATAAAAAAAAGAATCTTTTAAGATCCTATTTTTTTGAAGCCAGAATCAAGTTCAATTAAGTTTTTTTTTGCCCGAGAGTGGTGAGTTAAATTGACCAAACTTTACATAATCCATCTTTACCACCTGAAATTAAATATCGATCTAAATATCTTAATCTTTCAACCACATCTAAATGTCCATTCCCTTCATCAATCTTAGAATGTTCTAATGTGGTACGATTATAAACCTAAGAATCCCCAAAATCAGAAAAAAAAATCTCATCAGGTATTCCTTTCTAATGAGAAGTAAGCAAACAAAAGGTAACTTTATTTTCTTGGTTTTACTTACGTTTATATGATTTGTACCTGAAGTTGAAATGATTTTTCTACTATCAAATTGTAATGAAGTAATTGAATCAAAATATTTAATCGTATCAGATATAGTTCCCGTCCTTAAATCCCAAACCTATTCGCCCCCACCAAAAAAAAACATATCAGCAAGGTAAATCAACAATCAGTCAAAAACAAATTGAACTGAACTTTGATTGTTTTATCTACACTACCACTAATTAAATGCATTTCATCAAATTGTAAACATCTGATTGGTCCAGTATGTCCCACCAAAGTACGATGAGCTTGACCAGTTCTCACTAAAAAATGTCCTTGTAACCAATCAGTAATCCAACCAAAAAAAAATACATTTTTTTCTTCTTAAAGAATTCGAATTGAAAAAAAACACTCAACTATCCCACATTCTTACACAACCATCAGCACTACCACTAGCCAAAGCATAACCCCAAAACTGAATCCCACCCACAAAATCATTCTCTGCATCATCTTCATATACGATTTCTTCTTTAGAATTCAATCTTGAATCGAAATCGAAATCGGTGATAGAAGAACTAGGTTGTTTAAGTTTAGAAGATGTAGTTGAAGGTGGATGATAATGTTGCATGGCCCATAGGATATCCATCGTTAGGAGGTTTTGACCGGTTTCTAGGTCCCATTGTCGGATGGTTTTATCGGTTGAACCGGTTACCTATTTTTATCAAAACATGATCATCAGAAAGGTCAAGAATACTTTCGAAAAAAGAGAGAAAACTTACAAGACATGTATGGTCGAAATAGAGAGCTGTAATAGGTTGAGTATGACCTTCTAGTTTTCTAACACAAGGACTTGTAAGTTTTTCTACATCTGGATCATCACCATCATCTTGATTTGATTCTCTTTGATTTGAATGATTAAAATCATCTGGATCAATAGATAAATCCCAGATTCGAATTTGACCATCAATACCTGCTGTAATACAAGTTTGATCTTCAACCTGTAAACACTTGACCATTCCTTTATGTCCGATTAATTCTTGAATTTCATCACCTGAGACTAAATCCCATACTTTTAAACTTTGATCAAATGATGCTGAAATTAATTGTCCATAAGGAGTTGTGAAGTCTAAGGCACTGATCGGTTTAGTATGTCCTTTTAAGGTCATGAAGGATACGTTCTTGGGTAGTTGATCGTGTTCTGATGGTAAAAATGCTGGTCCTCTACGTCTTCTAGAAGTAGTAGAAGGAAGTCTAGTAGGTTGAAGTCGATGATTGCCAGTATGACTACCACTTTTAGATTTCTTTTCTCTTTCGATTAACCTATCTTCAACTCCTTCAAATTCATCTATCAATTCTAATTCTTCTTCTTTTAAAATCAATAAAGATCTTTCTAAATCTTCTTTAATTTTTAATAGTTTTGAAATCTTTGAATCTATTGTATTCAAATCTTTTGTAACTAATTCTTTACGAATTTTTAAATTCGATTGATCTTTTATAATCTCATTTAATTCTAATTTCAATTCTTCTATGGTCAATTCTTCTACTTCTACTTCTTCTATCAATGAACTTTGTTGATTTTTGTTTGAAAGTCCGATATCAGTTTTTCTTCTATAATTCGGTTTACGATTCTTAGGTTTCACTATATTTTCAGTCTTGGCAATACTTTTTCTAGATCGATTTCCAAGTCGACCAGTTTCTAATTCTAATTTTTCATATAATCCTAATGAATCAGATTCAATACCTAAAATCTTTTCACCAAGTTGAGCTCTTCTTTTACGTCTGAAATGTTTAGATTCTAAAGAAGAAGGTAAAGTAGCCCGAAAGCCTGTCCATAGTGATAAACCTTGATCATCTATTGTTTCTATTGTAGAAGGTAATTCTAATTGAAGTAATTGATCTATTTGATTTGAATCGGTTATAAGTAAATGGTTTAGATTGAACGGTTTTCCTCCTAACTTGTTGGGTAAGATCGTCTTGACTGTTCTTGTGATTAAACTTGGTGAGAATGATTGTTGTGATGGATTGTATAGATTTTGATGATTGATTAATGATGAATTGAATGAAGGGTTTGATAATAATTTAGCATTCATCAGTTGTGGTGCTATTGAGTTTAAGATTGATTGATGATGAGATTTGATTGGGTTTTGAGTTTGAGTTTGATATGAAGTTGAAGTTGAAGTGGATTGAATGGGTTCTGTTCTCATCTTGACTGCTTCGATTGTCAACTTTTGATTGATTGATTGATAAGTTGATAAGTTGATTTGATTATTGAAAAGCTTTGAAGTTGATTGGGTTTTACTAATTTTGAAACATGCTGAGCTGAAACTTCAATCATCGATCGTACTTTTGTACTGAAATGACGTCACTCGTGTAAGCTGTACAAAAGTGACGTAACATGGCCTTATGGTCTAGTCGTATGATTCTCCCTTTGGGTTCGCCTGAAGATTGGGAGAGGTCTCGGGTTCAATTCCCGATGAGGCCCATTATTTTTGTGTTTTGATGCTCGATCCCATGCTTTCAAACGACTTGAAATATTCCAGCAATAACACAATGTGCATTGGAAATATGATTTGAGCTTGTTTTGTCAAGATCTTGTTGATTCTAGTCACACTGCAACTTTTTGATTTTGAATGAAAGATGAACTAAAGAAAAATCAACAAGTATCATCTAAGAATTCAAAAGAATCATTCCATTCTGTTTCATTTGCTCATCAACATTCCAAAAGAAATTCTCAACAATTTTTGCAATATATAACAAGCATATTCGATTTATTTATAAACGAAGAAGATCCCATTCATGCCACTTGCGATTTATATATATATATATATATATCTTTTTTTTTGATTCAAAAACTAAGGTAAAAGAAACGAAACCCAACCAAATTGATTAACAGTTTTCCAATCTAAATAAATCAAAAGTAATCCAACTCCAAAAACCAAACAACAAAAATGATTTAAGAATTGATCAAAGAAATCAAAATATTTAATTCCTATTGAAATTAAATTCGAGTATGGAGAAGGTAATGAACCGGCTAAAGTTCTTAACATTCCAGAACTTTGTGGCGTATTCTAATCAATCAATCAATCAATCAATCAATCACAAAATCAAATATCAGTGATTTGGGAATTGGGGGATGATGGGATGGAGATTGGGCTTTACTCGTTTGAAAAACCATCGTGTGGCTTGTAAACTTAGTTCGATGGTTACAAACATCCAAAAGATTGGAGTAGGATTTAAGTTTGGATTCGTGATTCCTAATGCATGATCTGGGACTTGAAGAGTAGATTGAGAACTATAATCTACCGCACAAACCAAACCAAAAAACAATCAGCCCGATTCTGAAAATAGAACGATCTTTAAGAAGTAAGATATAACTGAAAATGATTTACTTGTATAAACTAATCCCAAGATAAATGTGATGGTTAGAATTGGAAAAATCGAATCTGTCCAATGACTAGAACTCATTGCTTGGTTGTTTGGAGATAAGTTGGATGGATCGAATTGGGTTTGGTTTTTGAATGCAGATGGATCGAATCCAGGTGGTAGTTGTAGTCCCATAGATTTCATCATTTCAAACATACTATCATCCACAATCGAATCATTTCCTGGATTCAAAGATCCTAAATGACTAGATGGTGTTGAGATTGGTTGGTTTAGTTTCATATTAGAATCGGATGAGTGCAAGGTGGGAGTTGAAGTCGTAGATAAGTTTGAGATATCGATTTCAGGTGGGTCTTGTGGAGTTTCAGTCGATGGAATAGGTGGTGATGATTGGGTTGATGATGGTGCTGGTTGATGTCCTTTCATAGCTCCTGTGATTTTAGCTAATCTATCATTTCCTTGTGTTAATAATTTTTGTTTTCTTGCTTCTGCTCTTTGACGAGCTGGTGAAGGTTGAGTTTCTGATTCTGTCATATTCTTGAACTTTTTTCCGATCGAAGAATGGTTTCCTGTTTTGATTTGAAGTTGAGGTATTCTTATTTTGTGATAAGTTGGTGGTTGATTGATATGTAGTTGGGGCTGGGGTCAATTTTCAAATCGATTGAATGATTTGATGACGGGTAAGGTTGGATGTCACTCATTTGATGTCCGGAGATTTCAATGGTGTGACATTTCGATCACAATCCAACACCCAGAAATCTCAACCTTCCTCGCTTTTGATGAAAAAAACCCATTTGTGTTATTTACATCATCGCCTTGATGTCCTAAAAAGGGTGAAGATGACCTACAAAAAATAACAAAGTGCCTTAGACAACAAAGATGAATGTTGTGGTGACTACTCCATCCATTACAATTTTAGCTACGCATCATCGGCAACAGTGACTATTCTTACAAGGACATCAACCTCATCATGATGGATCAGTCTGTAAACTTGTGCAATAATACATGATTTGCCTTGGAATTAAACTTATCTGGTTTGACACTCAAGGAGGCATTGATCATGAGCAAATTCACTCAAAGATGCTGAATAGTTCTTATTCTCACACTTTTCGGCCTATTGAGCATGATTCCCATGATTTGGCGTGCTCTCAATTTGATGCTTTTGTTGCAAGGATTTTCAGGAGGAAGCGCAGGAACAGTGCTACTCTTTGGGTATGTTCATCCTTCTTTATATCCACCTCAATTCAACTTCAAATTGAGGTTCAACATCACCAACTTGGACTCTGTACAACTTCTAGCTGGGAGATCTCAGTGAAGATCTTTCCCATTGGTACAACAAAGTCTGATATAAATTTTCCTTAAGCCTTCAACTTCAAACAAAGATGGGGAGATGATTGAAACTGCCAACTGCCAAGAGTTCAACTAGAATCCATTGTGATAAAGCAAACAAAATGAGTCTTTTGTAAGTGAACTAAAGATAATCTTGAGAATGCTTATGGGTCAATCAAATCTTTTGCTACCACATCCACGAGGTCCTGATAATATTGGGTTTGTGGTCTTGAGTTTTCATGGATTGTGTCTTGTTCTATTTGATTAGGGTATGGTTGGTGACAGCAAGGACCACTTAATTGGGTATTTTTTCAAAAATCGTTTCACAAGTCACAAAAATCATTCACAAAACAAATGAAGATAATTTTGAAGCTGTCTTGTTGAGGTCTATCCAAAATTATCCTCAGTGGAACACATTTCAAAAGTCTTGTTATTTTTTAACTTCTATAAGACTGATAAATTTGGGTTTTTTGTTGTCTTAATTACAAAATACCCAGTCTGTGCTTTCATGATTCTTGCTGTCACCAACCATACTCAGAGTGAGTATGTCATACTTTCTGGTACATGGTTTTTGGTTTTTTTACAGACAAAAAAAGATTGTGTGGGTCCAGAACTATGTAGCTTTGAAGACCTCACACTCACTTCCCCTGTCCTTGCCATCTGTTTTACTCATGGTGCCTCATGACTCATACTGGCCAAAGGCAAGAAGTTTCTATGGAGCAGAAAATATAGTTTTACCAGCCAAGCATAGTTTTGACAAAAACCAAAAAAAAATCACCAAAAAGTATGTACACATACTTACTCACTTTGAGGACCCTATAAAACGTGTCATTTGATCACTTTTTTCTCAAATGAATTGAGAAAGGTGTTGAAAAGAAGAGATCATAGGTCTTGAAAACCTTTGAGATACATGTGGTGAAGATTACATGCTTCTATTTGTGGAGGTTTGCTTAGAAGAATATCCACAGCCGTGCCGTAAATTTGTAGTTTGTGCAAAAACCATGCAAGATTTCTTGCACCAATATTGCAATTTTTTTGACAACCTCAGCTTTGTTCCAACTGGTACAAAAACCCTGCAAGACCAACATGCAAGATCTGTGCCAGTTCTATTCATATCTTGTACAGAATTTCCACACAACTTGCACAGATCTTTGCACAGGTTTGAGTACCTTTCTTGTACAGAGGCTTGCAAGGATTTCTAGGGAAGCCTGTGGGGTATGACAATTGAACCATGTAAAGTGGTGTTGCCCTGCAGTATGGCTTGTAACATAATTGGTGAGGTGTTTTATGGGTCAGTTGATCATTTATTTGCAGATAAGCCAATTGTACAAGTTGAAGTTTATGGAACAAATGAGGTACATAATGATTTAGGGTGCAAGTGAAAAAAGAACATCTTTGCCCTATCTTGGCTTGCAGATAGAGAGTTTCCTTAGCCAAGTATATGATTATCTTTGGGGGGAATGGCTGTGGATGTAAATACCTCAATTTTCCATACCTCACAGTTTATGGCACACAGCTGTAGTGTGGATGCTCCTACCAAGCACTGGGAACACCTCTAGCTTAACTTTGAGCATCAGCAGCAGAACTTGTATTTTGCAGGCTCTCAACAATACAGTGACAAAAACACCAAAAAACACTGCAGTGGTCCTTGCAAAATGTGAGGTGCAACATCAAGAGACTCCACATTCAATTTTAGGGGAATAATTGAGGCTCTTGATATCCAAAAATACATCCCAATACACATCACACCAGCCTAAAGGACACGATTCCCTACCAATTTTTCCAGAATAAAAGCATACCAAAAAGACCTCAATGATAGGTTTTTTTTGTAAATTGAAGAGCTCAGCTATACACACACACACACTTTTTTAGATCCCCTAATTTTGAGAATTGATTCTGGGAATCTGTTGGGAAGCCCACAAAATCTTTCCTATGGGCTGGCACATCTCCAAAGGTTTTGTATGAAATCTATGCCTCTCAATGCTTGGTTGACCTGAAGCCTGTTACATACCAAGGGTGTCAATATACTATACCAGTATTGGTATTGTATTGTGAAGTACCTGATCATGCATAAAGGATGAATGAATTTGATCAAGTTCCTATGTCTTGAACAGTAAACATAGTAGGGAAATCTAGTAGACAGAGGCAAAGACAGACAGACACATGATGATCATTGAGATAGAGATTGTTGGGACTACATACATTGATTCAAGCGGGCTTCTTTGAGTCGGGGCTGGTCGGGGCCAGGAATGTGGTGTTTGTGAAATCGAATCCAGTGCCATTGTCATTCGCCAATTTCGACATCAAACTCAAAAACTACTTTCAATCACAATCCAAATCATCAACATCAAAAACCAAGAAAGAAAACCATCCATCAAAGATCGAACTCGAACCAAAAAAAAAAACGAACACGAAAGAATGGAAGCCGAAGCCAAATCCATTGAGTTTCATCTAACAGAATCTTTCTTATCCGAAGTACCTAATCCTCAACCACCCCAATCTCCAACCCAAACAATACCTGATAAAGTTCTTTTTCTTTTTTGGGTTTTAGGTTATGAATTTGATTTACGACTCTACTAGGTATTCGATCCTAAACCAACCTACCCAATCACCTTTGAAATCCAAATCAAAATCCAAACTCAAACCAAACCCATCACCTAATTTAAAAGAAACCAATCCGATTACAGACCAAGAAATCCAAGAAGGCTTCATCAAAAGGATCGATCAATTAGGTTATAAAGTAGGATACATCTTATCAGAAAAGTAAAACCCTCATCTTATCCTACCAAACCCCCAATCTCATCCTCCCAAACCCCCCCCCACCCCAAAGCGCTCGAGTATTTTCTAACGATCTTCTTGCATTTGGATGATGAGATAGATTAATTAAAGATAAACCAAGGTTACCAAGGAATCCTCAGTACGCTTCGACTCATGAAAGCTTTGTGCCTGATTCATTGGAAGTCATCAAGTTTATTTGTAAAGATTTGTAAGATTCTTTTTTCACCCAAAAAAAACATCAATCCCCCAAAAAACACTGATCCCCGAAAAAACATTAATCCCCAAAGAACACTAATCTCCGAAAAAAACAACTAATCCTCTTGGCTTTTCTGTTTTTTCTTTTTTGGTTTTCTTTCGGGCGGGGGGGGGAGACCAGATGGTTATCAATCTTCAATAAACAAGTCGATAACCTCCGTACAAACCATCGAGGAGTTTACGTTTTACAAGACTATGGGTTCAAACCTTTTTTAAAACTGATTCCTAATCAATCTACTCTTGAATCAAAATCATATTTTCATAAAGTTGAGTCACTCAAAACCCAAAAAATCAAACTGATTTTTGACTTTTTTTTGTTTTTTGGGTTTTTTGGGGGGGGGGTTTGGAGTAGATGTTGGTTTTTCCTAGTGGGATTATTAGAGGATCATTAATGAATTTAGGAATCCAAAGTCAAGTGATTCCAGACCAAACAGCTATCCCACCTCAATGTAAATCATTTCCTAACCCTCTATATTCCAAAATCATATCACTTTATACTAATTAAGTTGTGTTATTTTTCATTTAGGTTCGATACAAATTCGTACGATTTTAAATCATCATCCTTCTACGACTAACACTTCTAATCAGTCTAAACCAAATCAACCATCCAATTCGAATCAAACTTCTCCCACTAAACCACAAGATCTTTCATGAATCACTTCTTTTTCCCTAAACACCAACTTTGTCTTTTTTTAATTAGATTTCATTAAAGATTTAATCAAGTTTGAATTCTGATCTAATTCAATTAAAAGTAACTCTTTATCTTGATTCGAATTTGAATTTAAACTTGAATGAATAGCTCGTTGGTTCTCATACACTTTTCCTACAGGTAATACCTGACTAGGAGTAACGATCATGTAAAGTAAATCATTAATAACGTCTCTAGACGTAGGAAGTAAAGGGTACTTTAAAACAAATTTAAGAGAACGAAACAGTGAGGAAGGTGTTCGGGAAAGATGGTTAAAGTGTTTGAGCAGATCGGATTGGTTGGTAGACGTTTGGGTCGGAAGTATGTGCAGTGGGATTGCTTGGTTTACAGAGGCTTTGAGGGATGATTGAAAGGATTGGAAGAGCCGGATGGATTGGGTGTGTGTGTGGTTCGCTGGGCTGGGGTAGATGGGAATGATTTTGATGGGTAATGTGGTGTGGGATGAAGAGGTTAGGAAAGGTAGTAAGAGTTGTAGGATTAGTAAAGGACTTGAAATTGATTGGAGATGAGAATCTTGAGGAGAGTGGTTGAAGAAGAGAATCGAATGGAGTTGGAATGTGAGAGGAGGATGGAGTGGGTTTGAATTGCTGGGTAGTTGGAGTGATTTGATGAGAGATTGAACGAATTGGATTAGACTGGATGGGTTTGATAAATCACATCTTTCTAGGAATAGTTGGGGATTGAGTTCGCGTAGGAGATTGATCAGTTCGATGTCTTTTGAGTTTGTACTTGAACTTGTGGTGGGTAAGATGATGATCAGTTGGAGGTGGTTTGTTTTGGATAATGATTGGATTAAGTGGAGTGGGAGTGATGATAAAGATGACTATTCAAAGAATCAATTAGTTTTGGTTTTTTGTTTTTGGTTTGGAGAGTGACTTACAGTGAAGATGAGAATTGTTTTGAATTTCAAAGACCTTGAAGACCCATTGAATAAGTAAGATTAGTATTTATTCATTGAGATGAATGAGATGATGATGACTTACTTTTGAAGTTGAAGTGAATTGATTTGAATAAGATTCTTGGATTTGATTTGATATGATTTGAATGAATTGATCGAGATTATCAGTATAAAGAGAGTGATGAAGATTTGTAGGATTTGTTGAAAACTAAAGGTTTTGGTTAAGAATAAAGTAATCAAATATAACATTCTTCTGCGAATTGGTAGGATTGCTATTGCTAATGCTGGATTGATGGATTGCCAATGCTGGATTGTTGCTGGATTGGTGTGATCGAGTGGTGGTCAGTGATATGTGATGTTAAGTCTAAGTGTATCATAAGTTAAGTGTTGAGTGGTGTATTAATTTTTTCGATCGATCCAACCAATCCAGAACCCTCAACTTTAAGAAATGAAACGAATCTACCAATCCACATCCATAAGGCTCATCAACTCATTCCAAAAAAGATTCATCACCACTCCAAGTGAACCAATCATAGATTATCAATCGATCATCAATCATAAATCAAGATCAAGCCAAAACCTAATCAACAGAAAATCAAACTTAAGATCAGATTCAATAAACGATTTAGCGTATCTTTATCATGAATCTAAGGCTTTACAATCTAAACTTATGGATGCTAAACAGAGACAAAATCATTTGAGTGAAAAAATTAAATCTATTCTTAATCCGACTTCTAAATCTAAACCAAAATCAAAACCAAAACCGAAACCAAAAGAACAAGAAGAAGAAGAAGAGGAAGAAGATCAAGAAGTGAAGGTCGGAAACGGATCGGGTTCTACTTCTCATTTAATTCATGTCGAATCTATTTCAGTTTACCACCAAGAAGCCAGTTTACTAAAATCATCAATCTCTACCTTGACCAAAGACTTAAAACTCTTAAACCAAAGACTACAAACCTTAGGCATCTCGATCCCTAACCAAACCCACCCAGATGTACCCATCGGATCATACTCAAAATCAAAGGTTATCAAAACATTTGAAGGATCAAATTGGAATCAAATCAAGTATGATTACCAAAGCTTCGAACCAATAGAAAAAGACAAACATAGGGATCATTTAAAGATTATGAATCAATTGGAATGGATCTCATTGAAATCAGGATCGAATTCGACTGGCTCTAATTTTGTGTTTTTGTTCGGATCGGGTGGGTGTTTGGAATTAGCATTGGTTCAGTATGCTTTATCGATGATCATTGGGAAGGGTTGGAAGTTGGTTTTAGGACCGGATTTGGTTAAGACTCAGGTTTTGAAGCTTTGTGGGTTCGAACCTAGAGATTTGGGAGAAACTCATCAAACCTATTACGTTTCCAATCAACTTTCTTCATTCCAATCAACAAAAACCGCAGAATCAACAGAAGAAGAAGAAAGACGAGTTCCAGAGTTATGTTTATCTGCTACATCTGAGATCCCAATGATCTCTTCTTTCCATTCCACAACCCTACCGAACTCAACCCACCCTGATTTTCCACATCAACCGATCAGATGGGTAAGTGTGGGTAACGCTTTTAGATCAGAAGCTGGGGCGAGAGGTTTAGAGTCTAAAGGGTTGTATAGGTTACATCAGTTTAAGAAGATCGAATTGGTTTGTTTGATGGAGAATGATTTGGAAAAAAGTGAAGGGATGTTGTGGGAGATGATTGGGTTACAGTGTAGGATTATTGAAGGTTTAGGTTTACCTTATCGGTTCATCTTCTTTTCTTCTTTACCTCTTCTTTTTCTTTACCTTTATGAAGAAACTTATGTGGGTCTTGGTTTTTTTTTGGGTTTGGATGATAGGGTTTTGGAAATGTCTTCGGAAGAATTAGGGAACTCTGCTTTTCATAAATATGATATTGAAACATGGATGCCAAGTAAAGGTAAATGGGGAGAAGTAAGTTTTTTTCTTTCCCTTCTTCTTCCACTTCTTCCCATTCTTCCAACCATAAAGAAAACCGAAAATTTAAAATAATGATGGGTTTGGATATACAGATTACTTCAGCATCGAATTGTACAGATTACCAATCCAGAAGACTCAACATTAAATATAAATCTAGTAGTAGTAATTTGATGGAAAAAAAGAAAGAAACTGAGTTCTTACATACATTGAATGCTACTGGATTAGCGATTCCTAGGATCATGATGAGTTTGATTGAGAATGGATATCTTAGAGAAGAAGAAGGGAATGGGAATGGGAATGGGAAGATTAGGATTAGGTTACCGAGCGTTTTGAAGGCTTTTTGGTTGGGTGTTGATGATGAGATTATTTGGGTTTGAGTATATAAATGGTTTGTAGATGTTTTTTTTTGGTTGGTTGGTTGCTTTGAATATATTATATATATCATTGGTTTTTGTTTTTTATAATAATTTCTTCATGAGCTTTAAAGGTTCTTTAACTGATCTTATGGTTCAATGATTGTTCATTAAGATGATTGTTTATTTGGTGAAATGATTCATGATCAGTAAAAGTCCAAGTAGATGGTTTGTAAGAGTATGGAATCTTGGAATTAGATCTTTTGGGTATGGACTCTCGAGTTTGAAAAATCATGTGTACAAAGGATCAAAGTGGGAACTTGAATTGGAAAAGATGGAATGTAAGCAAGGCAAACCTAGTGCTCAGACCATAAAGAATGTTACTGATCAGGTATTGGGAAAAGTCTTGAGTGGTTCTATGATTTGAGGTTTCTTGGAGTCAAGGTAAGTGATGAAGATGAGCTGAGACTGTGTTTGTGACTTCTGTGAGGAAACTGGCCTTTTTTTGAACAAGAATTGTGAATCAAGAGCTGTAGAAAAGTACCATGTAGGGTCAACTTGCCAACTTACATTTCCATCTGGTTATATATTGTGGACCAATCCATTTGACTGAAGTAAAGTCTCAAGTTGTATTGTTTATCTCAAGTCTGAGGCCAACTAGTGATAGATAAGCTTTACTAGCAAATATAAAAAAGACGTCATATTGGCACATCATTGGTATACATAAGTGGCTCTCAAACCTGCCCCGGTTTTCAAAAAACCCAGTTGACCCAGTTGTTTTTTGGCAGTAACTTTGTGTATCAAGTTGACATTTGTTGACAGCTCCCAGCCAAAAATTCAACTGGGGCAACCGGGTTTTTTGAAACTGGGTCAGGTTTGAGAGCCACTATAGTCCTAATCTGATCATGATCATTCTTTGTGTATAATTCTTTTGTAGATACAAAAAGATCACATTAATGACCATGATTAAACTTTTTGACTTATGATGAACTGCCCTTCTTGATCTTGGGTTTGGTGGTAATATAGTATCAAAAAATTATATTTGAGGCAGTTACTGTTCTTCAGATAGAAAATTCTTCAAATATCAAATTAAAATAGTGGCAGCATACAAAATTCAAAAACAACTATGGTGTGCAATATGCAGACTGAGAAATCCAGCAAGTTTTTTTTTTTTTTGGTCAACCATCTTGTATTCCTGTTATTATTGAGGCCATTAGTTTTTTGTGAAAACCTTCACCTTTCATTTTGTGAGATTCTTACAATCTCAGTGTTTTCAAACAAGGTAGAAAGATTTACAAGGTATAATTTTTGTTGGAAAAGATGTAAAAATAAACAAAAGAACTCTAACTTTGGTGAATAAAGTACACAGAGAAGGTACACATCACCCAATGTATTTATTATGAACATCAATAACAACATTAATTCTCAGCTGTGTATCCCAGACAGGTTCTGTCTTCATCACTAACAGTTTCAGATCACTGAGAAGCTTGTCCCCCAGGACGGATGGGATTTACTTTCCTGTTAAAGTCGTGGACTTGGATTCTAAAGACTTTGATTCCTTCGGGGTTTTTTTTCAACACCATATCTACATTCAAGGCCTCTGTTTTGCGTCCCACCTTCAAAGTACCTAGGAGGTAAAGCATGATAACATTTTTATCCAGTTGGTTTACTTCTTGGGACATATAGAAACCCGCTGCAGATTATTGTACGTAGAGTTTATGGTATTTGCATGTGGAAAGTGAGTACAATAGTCAGAATCACTACAAGTACTCTGTTGGTGGTTGATGATCCAGGGTAGGAAGGTGACTATGAAGCATACCTTGCTCGATTTCCGTCCTGACGGTCAGGTGAGCCTCTGGCATGTATATATGAAGGCCAATTCCAACTCCTTAAAGAAGATGATGAGAAATTACAAAGTAGACTTCAGAAAAAATCCATGCCACATCATTGCATGGCTAGTAGAGCCTCATCAGGAAGCTTAGCCTTTACTCACCATCTTCCTCGTAACAATCTTGACGAATTCGGAACTTGGCCTTTGGATGCATTTGTGCGATTGCATCATCTATGTTTTTGTCTTCTATACTCTTATAAAACCTCTCCACAGAGTTTTTGATTTCTTCTTCCGTCCATGGTTGACCTAGCATAGAAAGATTAGTCAGACTCAAGCTATGTGTTTAAAACAACGTCGTTTGGATATTGCAAGACTCACTCACCCTGTATATAAGCGAGGTCTGAATCTTTGAACTTGAAGTCAGCGTGCCAATTGAACGCCCCGGTAAAGAACGGACATACTACGATAACAATAGCAAGAAGTGTAATTGAAAATCTAGCCATGATGATCTTAAGCCAATGATGAGGCCTTTATGTAGATATGAAAGAATATGCAAAAAAAAATGAGCACAGATGATGTTCAATGAAGACTAACAATGATATATGCTGATGGGCGACCTCGTTTTATATTTGATGAGTAAAGTTCATACAGCATGTCATTCGATATCACCCTTGGAACAAATATTACGAGCTGAAGCATTGCATCAGACAACCGGTAGGATCAACCCTCCATCAAGGTTTTGAGATGATGATGACCTGTACTTTTTGCGGCGCTCGATTGCTTCTGACTGCGATTTTTATAACAAGCATGTCTCATCTGGGTGGAGACCTCGCGATCATCCTCGGAACCCATGATGACTTCGGGGGTGGTAGTTCATTGCTATTTCACTATAGGAAACTCTGACTTGTTTGCTCATAGGACCTCATCTCCTTTTCAAAGAACGTGAGGCAATTTTATCTTTCTTATGACACTAAGCCTGATAAGTTTTATGGAATTCAGGTAGTACAGAAATGAGGATGACTTTCATCACACCTTATTAATATCAGCCAATTTCACGCAACTCACAATCTTGACTTGGCAAGTGTCGCATAACGGCAGCCAGGGGTCTTCTGATAAGTAAACAAGATTTCTAAAACATCACAGGCAATCAAATATTATATCTCCTGAACAAGTGTGATGCAAGTTCAACAACACCGGGACCACTCGGATTGATAAACAAGGAAATATCAACATAGTATTTATGGAAATCAAACAGAGAAACTCAAGGATACTTACATGACCGCTTTGGAATCTGTTTTTGAGAAAAACTGAACTGAGCTATGAAAATTGATAGAAAATGAATCAATCTGATCCTGTTTGATTTATAAAAAAGATCATCCTAAGAATTTATGAGTACCTTTCTCATTTTTACAATATATAAATAAGACTTCATCTGATTCCAAAAAGAGAAATCATCATGAAACCATCTTCATTTGACACTCTTCATTCATATTATCCATAATATAGATTCCCCTAATCAAGCTTTTATGTGATTTTCCTTAAAAAAGCCCTTTAGAAAAAATAATCAAGTATGAATTGGCAAGGTAACTTTGCCTACAAGTTTTCCTCAAAACGTATATCAAATTCCATTCTACCAAATCCAAATCTAAAACCTCTCTCTCTCTCTCTCTAAAAACCCTGATGTAAAAAGGAAAATAAATAAACATTTTAAATTCTACAAAGTATAATGAACCATAAGAAAAAAGATAACAAAATATAAAAGACAATCAAAAGAGTGAAAAAGAAAGGAAATCACCAAAAAAAGTTTTTTTTTTTTTTTGTGATGAATGAGAGTTTTTTTGTGTTGGGTTTTGGTTTTAATGAAACAAGTTTGAAAAATAAATTAGGTAAATATGAAAAAAAAAAAGTTACAAACATTTATATTGAGAGGTTCTTTTTTGGATTAGAAAACATATATATATATGGGGAAAAAAGGAAATGGAAAACCCCAAAAGAGAAACCAAAAGAGAAACCAAAAGAGAAAGCGAATTCATGAACAAACATGTAAAAAAATGTAAATATATAAAAAAAGATACAAAGACCAAAGAAAAAAATGAATCAATCCAATAAATCCAATAAATCCAATCCAATCCAATCCAATCCAATCCAATCCAAAACCACGACTAATTTTCCAAAATCTTTCACTCAAACAGCTTCAGCAATACTTCCATGATCATCCAAAGAAACACTCTGAGTGCCAAAATAATTCATCGATTTATTAATCTTAGACTGAACGACATGTTTCAAATGATCAGCCGAGAACTTAAAACTTTCCAATGAATGAAGTGTCTGTCCACTAGTTCCAGTATTTCCAGTATTTCCAGTAGTTCCAGTACCAGAAGAAGATTGAACCAGTGTTTCGTTTTCAGTTTCATTCGGATTCGAGAATGATGGATCAGAGAACTTAAGATCCAAGGAAGTTTTCAAACTCGACAAACTCAGTTTAGAAGCTTGATGATGATGGTGATGATGATGATGGAGCAGACTAGATTTGCCTAACTGTCGTCTAATCGACCTTCTCGTAAACTCTCGATTCTTATTCCAAGACCGAATCGTAGGACTCAAGCTCAAATTACCAGCAGGATTACTAGTCTTCAAGCCCGCCAATCCACTCGTACACTTCCTATCATCTTTAGGCTCTAGATCTTCATCTTCTTTTAAGTAGCTTGGATCAGCTTTTCCAGATCTGATGAGTTTTCCTAATGCTTCGATTTCAGGGTTAGGTACTGATCCACAAAGCAATCCGATCATTTGAAGTCTTTTGAAATGAGAGATCTCATTAACCAAATCCATCGAAAGAGGTTCATTAAAGCCTTCTAAACTATCATCATACAAGTAAGACAAAAGTTTATAAAACCGATTAAAGACACTCGAGATCATCGAGTCTCTAAAACACTCTAAAGCGATCCTTCTCACATCGATACCAAGGTTAGATTTCTTGACGTACGTTTCATTTGGATCTTTGGGTTGGATCTTGAAAAGTAAAGAAGTTGATGAAGGAGGTAAACCAGAGGTAGAAGAAACTTGTTGTAACAAATGAATCTGTTGTAACCTTTCCTGTAAAAGCTTATTATTCTTTGACTCTAATACGGATATTAACTTTTCATCTGTCATGAGTGGTAAAAAGATAGCTTCTAGAGTAGGCAAAACACCGGTAAAGAAAAAATGCCAAATTTCCATAAGTCGAATTAAAAATCTTTCGTCTGATAGAGTATCGGCTGAAAACTTGTGGTTTAGACTCATCACTCCTGAGGTTAATAGGTCTTGAAGATCATTGGTTAGTTTTTGAATCGATTTAGAGGGCGAATCTGAAATCGTTTTGCTTATGTATTGAATCACGAATTCGTTTAAATCTTCTATAAATCCTTTATGTCCTTCTCCATTACTACAAAAAATGAAGATTTCATTAGCTCATCATTAATTTTTTCACAAACAAAAAAAAAGACAAGAAAGAAAAAATCAAGTGAATTTCCTCATATCAATCAGAAAAAAGTTTCATGGTGAAATTATTAATCATGAAAAAATTCAACTTACAAAAGTGGAATGACCCTCATCACGATCTGACTCCAAAGATCACCAGGTCTGAGTACCAAAGACCCATTAGACTCCCCACCGACCTGATGACCCAAAACCAACCCAAAGTTAGGGTTTTCCAACTTTTGACCAAACCCATTATGATTACCCGTGAATTGAGTTGAAGCTAAAGTAGAAGTTGAAGTGATATGACGGATCACAGGTTTATGGTTACCATTACTACTACCACTATTATTGGTGTTGTTGTTGTTGTTGTTGTTGTTGTTGTTGTTATTGGATGAAAAATTCATGCTGGAATGGTGCGGTTGGGTATGGTTTGTTGAAGAAGTGTTAGAGACTAGACTGGTGGTAGAGGTTCCTGAAAAGATTCCTAGGGTCGTGACACTTTCGTTCTTTTTATTGGTGATTTCTAATGACCTTTTATTTGATGTATCTATTGATTTCTTATTCGAAAGCTCTATTGATTTTTTGGTTGGTTTGTTCTTTTTGTTTGAATTGTCTATTGATTTTTTAGGTTCGGTCTTTTTGGTTGAGGTGTCTGATGGTTTCTTAGTAGGTTCTATTTTTTGGTTTAAAACTTCTAATGATTTCTTACTAGGTTCGGTCTTTTGACTTGGATTGGTATCAATCGATTCGACCTTTTTACCAGAATTGGATTCGTTGGTTGTGCTATTGTTTTCTGATGTTTTGGTAGGTGAGAATTGATTAAAAGTAGAAGAAGATGAATTGGTTGATTCAGATTGGATTGAAAGATGATGATGATGAATGTTAGATGGATTGGAATTGACTGATTTAGTTTTAAGATTAAATCGATTTGGATTGGTTTGATTATGTTTAATAAGGATAGATGGTTCAATTAAAGAAGTAGTCGAATGATTTGGTTTTTTAAGATTAGATGATGATTTGTTATTGTTGGAATCATGAGAAGTAGATAAAACTTTTAGATCTAAAGATGAATTTGATTTGAGAGTTGAAGTTGGATTAGATAGTTTGGTTGATCTTTTAAAGAAATCTGATTGCTTGAATGAAGAAGTGAATGAAGATGATGATGATGATGATTTGGTTTGATGTTCTGATGATTTTAAATTCGAATGAGTGATATAATGAAAGTTTGAATGAGCTAAGATTTGATCTGATGAAATACTATTACTTCTCTTGATAGGATTGCTTGGATTGTGAGTAGTAGTGGTAGTTTGTTGATGATGATTTGATGAATTTCTAAGATTACTTAATGAAGTGACTGCTAATAAAGTGTGATGTGATTTAGTAAACAGTGATGGTTTTGAAGTGGTTGAATTTGAATCTGAATTAGAATTTGAAGTGATAGTATTGGTAGTGGTAGTAGTGAGTGGCTGTTGTTGTTTTGGTGGTGGTGGTGGTGGTGGTTGTTGTTGTTTTGGTTTTGAATTAGATTTTCGATGTTTATTGATTGGCATGATAAGAATTGGTTAAAGTTTGATAACTAATGATGGACCTGGTGTTGTCTTTTGTTCTTGTTCTTGTTCTCGTCGTCCTTGATGAATAATGAAATGAATGAATGAATTTATTTGAAACTCTTCTCTTCCATCAAACTTGTTTTTTGAAACTTGTTTGTAAGATTGGTTAAAACTTACTTAACTTTCAAACCCAACCGATCATCTGGACGATCTACAGTGCTACACTAACCCAACCCTCAATTTCTTACATAAAAGAAGGATCTTCAATTCATTTCACTCTTCATCAATCCAAACTACAGTCAAACCTGTGCAATTGCATAATTTGGGTGGAAGACTTTTCCTATGCATTTTCACGGGTTATGCAATTCCATTGTCTAGTTTGGCGGTAAAAAGTATCAAGATCTAGGAATTTTTCTATGCATTGTCACAGGTTATGCATCTGCGCAGGTATGCATTTGCACAGGTTTGACTGTACTCTTTACCAATTCAAGTACATAACAAAAAGAAATCCCTATATAGTGAATTTCTTTTTGTTTTTTGTCATGCACTATTCAACGAACGTCGACCTATAACAAAATACAGTTCTGTATCGGAAACTTCTTCAAGTTGAGTCAGAGACTAGAGCTCTATTCAGCTCTATTCGGTCTAATTTGGCGTGAACCTTCAGGAATTACTCACAGTAATTTCTAATTCATTTCATTTCTCTTCCTTGATCTTTTCTTTTCCCTTATTAAGCCTTTCTATGACGCAGGTATCTTCTCACACACAACTGAGTCTACGTAGCCTACAAGCAGGGAATATGTACCTACCTACTACCAGACCTTGCTTCGTTCTCCTGAAGTTTGTTTAACGCTTGATCATATTTCTCAGGGGTCAACTTAGCGTACTTTTAAGTCAAAATTGGTTTTAAGTGTTTTGATACACCACATGAAAGAAGCTTGCGTATCAAGATTTACCACATTTCATTCCCATGCCAATCTTGACCCACAAAATAAAACAGTTGACCTTCATTTCGAAGGCTCACGGCACAAGCCAAAAGAAAGGGCCTCATCGGGAATTGAACCCGAGACCTCTCCCAGTTTCAAGGCGAACCCAAAGGGAGAATCATACGACTAGACCATAAGGCCGATGACGTCATTCGGACTACTTGGGGTCGAAACCGGTCAAACGCCATGCATAATTGAAATTATCCACTCCAGCAGGAGATCTCTCAGATCAAAAGATTGATTGAATATGTTCTGAAGATCTCTTGAATGAGATAAAGACACATTAGAAATGAAAAGTGCCATGAATGATGATTTGATCATATCATAAAGTAAAACACATTAGAGATGATAATCTTTTAGGTGTAGGTAACTTACTTATTTACTGATTGGAATATTGGGAAATAGGGACTTTGAGTATTGGATGTTGTGTAATTGTTGGGTCCAGGTTTGAGTTGTTATTTTACCATTGGCAAAATGTCATCATTCCTGTTTACCATTGAATTTCCATTCATTACTTGTTGACCATTTTATCAAGTTTCCTTTTTTCATCATCCTATTGTCAAGTTACAACCATCAACAGCAAGTATTTTTTAAAGTCCCACCCTTCCTGCCCTGGAGGTTTTTTTTTTGGTAAAAACTTTGTATGTTGTTTATGTTATATTTTTATCTTATATTATATTTGAGTTAGGTATTTTCTTGCAAAAAGATTGTACTCAACGTAGAGTTCTCTAAGAAAACAATATAAAAAACTCTTCCTTTATAATTTTCTTTCTAATTTTTTTTTGTTATGTAGTCAAAGATGTGTTTTGGTATTTAAATTCTAAGAATGTACATCCTAAGATTTTATATTGTTTTATTATTGTGGACCGCTAGCCACCCCGTAGGGTGTTGTTTGGTTTTAAGACATGATGATTTATACAAAGTTTATGCCTAGTGTCTTTTAGTGTGTCAGTTTCATCTATCCGTAAGTCTTGACAATATTTCCACAGAGAGTCAAGATCATCTGATTCATTCATATGGAAAAGTGTAGAAATTGGAACACACAGAATTGGATCATTCTAGCTACTAGTACTATGAGACAAATTGAAGATAGTTTTCTTCTTTCATAGAATCAAGCACCTATGATGGATATATAAAGAAAAAAAAGAAGATCCATGATCATCTTATGATTTGTTGAGTTGATTAGAAAATCACATTGGAAAGAAGATATCTTACATGTGTTTCCCAAGTTTTTAATCAAAAAATACTCAATACTAAATCAATAAAGATCATCTTCAAGTTTCAGTATAAATGTAATATTTCATACACTAATACAAGTGGCAAAAGGAGAAAAAGGTAAAAAGGAACCAACTCTTGTTTTTCTCTTGACATAGAGTATACTCATCTAGTATCCAGTCCCACACACACACACACTTTTCACTTGACTTCTTCATACCAATCCCTCTATGTCTGCTCAACTCTTAGGATTTCCTTAATCTCTTTGTCTTTTTTGAGCCAACCTTGCCTTCCTGAATCCACATATGTCCCTATTGCTTATGAAGTCTAGTCTTTCTACTGAGAGACAAAATCACCAAGCTCTAGAACTTCTAATCATTATCCTCTATCTTCCCTCATGGGTACCACCTCCACACCACACCAAATAGATCATAATCATTCCATGAGGGTACACTACCAGTAAAAAGTGATTTACCTGCAGAAAGAATGTTATGATGTTATGTATGTGACAGTTCTAATCACATCATCACTGTTTACTAATCACATTTCACTCCAAATAGCTTTATATTTTATTAGCATATTTCACTTATGCACCTTGAGTATAATTTTTCCAACTTTTACAATGGTCAACAGCCTCAAAAACCAACCAACTTTGACCAAAAACCTCGAAAAACCATGTGATGACACAATGTAATGACTTTGTTATTAATAGATTTGACACAGCCAAAGTGATCAATGATGTAATTAGATGTTACACAGCACTTCTTAGGATGACTACAGGTGATTTTTTCCTTGTAATCTGGCCGAAAACCTATTTTTGAAGTTACAGGTTTTTTCAGATGATGCTCAATTTTTGGTTACTGAAGTGCATCTGATAGAGCTTGTGATTTTGATTAAAAATTGCCGCCATATCATGTACTTCTGATGATTAATGGATGTGTTATTGAGTTGTGAAGTTAAGGTTTTTGTATGTAAATGTTGTTACATGTATGCATGTAAGTGTAGAATTTGAAGTTCACACCAATTTCTTATTTATCATATAACTTTCTTCACACAACTCTGTTACTAATGACTTAAAGTTTGTACATTATGTAATTATCCATACTTCTGTGTTGAATGAGCCATTTACCATGAAATTATGACGTCATTGGACATATGTAATAAGCTGAAAACCTCCATTTTTGACAAAATTGACACCTTTTTCCTTACATTGCCAGGATTAAACACTTTTCTAATTAGGATAATGTGTTGCTTTTTTGGGATAATTAATTTTTGCCATATAAATCCTTAGCAATTAATGCAAAAGTGATCATTATTCCATTAGGGACAGTGTTTAATCCTGGCAGTATTATTTCCAATGCTATTCACAGGGGCCAAAATTGATGCTCACATGTATGTGAGCATTGTAGACTTTTTTGAAGTCTCCTAAAAAGATTCATTTTCTTTCAGATCCATTCAATTCACAATTTTGGTTGTGTTCAGGTGATCAGCCTGTTTTGCTCACATTTTGCTTGACATTTATTGAGAAGGCTCATTTGAATCTTGGATGAGCAATAACTGAGTCCAGATGAGTACTCAGGATCAGCTCATGAGTCACTGAATACTCAACAATTTGGTTGAAATGAAAATGTGCACATGAACTACACCTTCCTCAGGCTTCATTTCTTAGTGAAGAAGCCTGCACAGGGGCTGTCCAATTTGAGCTGCTCAGGAAATACTCAGTAGCATCCCCTGGCTGGGTCACTGATGGGCCAGACTTTCCTCAGACTTCCTTGCTAAGGAATGAAGCCTCATAAAAGAGCCATCCCCCTGCTCAGTTTATTTCAGCCGCTCAGCTAATCCTAAGTGATGTCCCCTGGACAAAGCTGCTCACACTGAGGGGCTGAGGTCAACTGAGCAGCCCCTCAGCCAATACTCAGTGACATCCTTGGGATCAGAAGGATCCCAGGAATTCCCCTGGGGACTAGATGTCAGCCCTGGGTACGTATGTATGTACCCAAAGACTAACTTGTAACATAGATAACCACCTTTAGACAACTAATTACATGTACATAGGTCTTACAAAACATATGTAACTTGTAATAAATCATACATACTTTCTAATTACATATACATATACATTTAAAACCATATTTAATATGTAATAAAACACTAATTACACCTCATAACTCAGTGTCAAGAGTTGAAAATGCTTATACTACATAAATTACATAACACATATATGTAACTATGTAGTATTAATAATAATCATAACTAACAGTAATAATTAAAACCTAAACCACTTTAGTGATACAAACAAATATCACTACAGTTAGGTTTGGAGAGGAGAGTATATAAACTCCTCCTCTCTCAGACTTCAGAGATTCTACCCCAAGCATTTATTACACACCACTTTCAAGAACCATTAAAGTTCTACTGAAGTAACATCAAGAGTCTTATAAATATAAGACTAGTGATATCTCCATTACTTTAATCTGTTCCTTGATTAAAAGTAAGTAATACCTTCACCCCTTCTGGATCCTCTACTTCCCCCAAGTGGGAACTCTTTTAGGTTGGTGACCTTCCAACAACCCAAGGCTAGTGACCTACATATAAGTACTTTCAGGCTGGTGACCTTAAGAACAACCATAAGTTGGTGACTTTAAGAACAACCAGTGTAGTGACCTTTATCTCACTCTTTAATCTGTTACTTAAAAGATTAAAGGAAGGACTGTGGGATCCATCCTTCATTTATTATAACATCTATATATTATAATTATAAACCTCCTTTTTAGGAGTCACTTAACTGTAGTCTGTCTGGATTTATCCAAACAGACCAGTCCCTTTTCCCTTTCCTTCTCTCTTCCTATATTTCTAGTTGTAATTACATTATATTTGAAATATAATCTAATCAAATTGTGACCATAAAAACCCTATTAGCCCAATTTAGTGAGCCTTGAGTACTCTTCTGAGCACCCAACCCTCACACTAGATGAGCAGCCCCTCAGCCAATGAGCGGTGAAATCCTTTGGATCCTTCTGGTCTCAGGAATGCCACTGAGGGATAGCTGAGAAGCATTGGTCAACTGAGCAGATGGGCATCAGGCTTCATTCCGGAGCCATGAAGCCTGAAGCAAGGCTGGCCCTATGTGATCCATCCAAGGGATGCTGCAGAGAATTAGCTAAGAGGATACTGGGGTCAGCTCAGCCCCTAAGCTAATCATAAGTGGTGTTCCTTGGAGCCTACTGAACCAGGGAATGACGCTCAGGATCAGCTGAGCAGCTGAGATAAACCAAACAGGTGGATCAGCCCTTCCTCAGACTTCTTTGCTAAGGAATAAAGCCTGAGCAAGGCTTAGTTTTTCTGCTCAGTTCTGGTTGATCACGTAATCAGCTGATGAGCAGAAAGAAATAGGAAAGAAAAGGCAAGTAAAATTGAACAAACATTGAAACAAACACAAAAATTACAACACTCACACCTATGTGAGCAGTCATTTTTGCCCCTGTAATTAGGGCATCTCCTATTGTCTTGGTAAACGCCTTGGTATGGTAAATTTTACTGTACCAAGCCTTGAATTCCCCAATCTTGTGTAAAACACACTTCAGTATCTATTGAATCAGTGATAAATCTGTAGAGGTCCAGCAAATCTGCTGGACCTCTACCAAGTCGGTATCTACACAATCCACAAAAAATCTACCAAGACTCAAGTCTCTCCAAAGTTGCTCCAAGTTTTGCAAATCCCTCTACTACACATACTATCCTTCCTTTCTATTTAGTTTCACTATTCCTTCTCAATTCTTCATCTCATCTTTGTCTTAAACATCAAATCCTCATCAATCAAGATACTGATGATCAAACCAATCAAACTAGTCAAGTTAATCAAAATCCAACAAAGAAAAAAACAGCAACAACTGGTCCTCTGCCAAAGAAGTATTGCTTGCCGAGGTGTGGGTCCACATCAGCCAGCTTCCCAAATTTGGCACAAACCAGACTGGCAAGACCTTTTTCAAGCAAGTCACCAAACACCTCAATTTCAAACTGTCTTTTGAGACTTGAGATCTCAATTCCGCTCAAATCAAGCGAGTAGAGTCATCATAATTATACATTGAACAATGTAACTGATCAATCTCGTTTTTAGATGGGCTGCTTTGAAAATGGCAACACTCAAGTTTTGTGGTTACTACAGTCAGATTGAACAATCATCTCCAAGTGGCATTGTTAAGTCCGACTGGCCAGAACTTGTGATCGAGCTTTACAATGAGCTCAACCCCAAAAAGCCACCATTCAAATCCCTCACAGCTTGGAGGGTTCTTTCAACTGCACCCAAGTGGATTGTTCCACAACCTCTGCCTGGACCTTTGGCTTTGGATATTGCTGCAATCCCCTCTAGTGAGGCACTCTTGGATGCCACTGATACAAGTACTACTACTTGTCCTTCTACCCCTCCTCACCCAATTGGAATCAAACAATCAAAACACCAGTGTAAAGATGACTCAATTGCTCAAGAACTCAAAGAAGCTTGTGATGAACAACTTAAAAGCAGTAATGAGTCAGCTGAAAGAAGAGTTCAGGCTCTTGAGGAAGGGAATGAAGTGGCAAAGCAGATGGCTAAAGCAGATGCTGAAGCCAAAGTTAGCCTTGTTCAAGTTAATGAACTCAAGGTTCTAATGATGTCCAAAGATAGCTGTCAAACACCTCTTGCTAAGCAAGTCTTGCAAATGATGCAACAATGTCTTAAAGAAAAAAATAAAAGTAATGATAGCTCCTCACCTTCAACTAGTACTGATGATTTAGATTGAGTTTTAGAATTGGTAGAATTGACTCAAGTATGATCAAATCAAGACAGTGTCTTAGAAACATTAGAATGAAGTCAAGTCAAATCAACTTGAGAAACTTTTTTCTATTGAACACAAGTTATACTCAACTCAACAAGATTATAGCTTTGCCTTGGCCAGTTGGATGGTGATTAGGGCCTTTTTTTCGTCATCTACAATACATCATCACAACCAGAGGATTATGTAGTCAAACTGTCAACTCAATGAATGACTTGAAACAACCAAGTCTTACCCGAAGCATCCTGACGCAATAGTTCCACACCCAGCTCTTCAGCAAAAGCCAGTGCCCTTGTTTCCAAAAGGACAACTGTGTTAGGTAATCTCAAGAGCTCATTTCGCTCCTCGCCCGTACGTGCCCTACGGCTTTTTGATTGGATATCTTTCAGCTTATTACTAACATTTTGATCCCTTATCAGTTCACAGCAAACCAAAGTTATGTAAAAGTGGACTCTGACCGTGCTTCGACTAGTTCTTCCTCAATACCTAGATACACTAGTATTTGATCGCGCTTGTCTTTTGCGCTCTCGCTAATTAGTTTTTTTTGCATCTCTCTCTGCCTATTCCATTGTTCCTCAAGATATTCAGTGGTCATAGTCGGATCCTGCTTTAGTAGGCTAGCGAGCTCAGATTCGGCCTCTTTTAGCCGCTTCCTCACTTCGGTTCCTCGCTTCTGAATTGATCAAACTGGAGGAATTTGATCAGTTTTGAAAATCCTCCATACATTAGATCTATGTAGCTCACTCGCATTAGACCTTGATACAATATTGGAATGAACGGATCGCATACTGATACTTAATGCACGGTGTAGAGCTGTTGCATACCGGTTGGGCCTAATTAGCGGGCTCAACTCCGACCATTTCCTTTCTAATCCTTCACCGTCTGAGAGCCCCCATCCCATGTTCAGCCTGGGATTGTAGTTCAATTGGCAACCCCATTCATGAACGTAGGCATGAAAAACGCTGGTTCCAAACTTCAAACGTCCAGCTTCACGTTCGGTTGCAAATTGTTTGCGCTACAAAAGAAAGATGTATTGGATTTAGTTGCGTTTTGTGAAGTAAAACTTTTGGATGTACCTTCAAGATACCTTTCTCAACATTGCAGCCAATGTCGTAAAGGATACCCACTTTATTCCATTGGCGGTCTGTGGCATTTTCAACTAGATCTGAAATCCATTTGATCATCGATAGGCTGAACACCGCTCTGATATCATACAATGTGTGGTCATGCCTACAAGCCATGCCAAATAGCCCGGTTTCGTCACAGCCTCCCCAGTGCGACTTCCCTCGCACGTCATTCGCAGCAGTGTGTTGTTCACTACAAGGATGCTGAAGTGGTGGCCGATGGGTCAGCTCAAAAAAAAAGAATAATCTACAGCAAGTTGAACAATATGGACCTACAACCTCTTCGTCCTTCACTTCAATCGGGGGCTGTTGGTTTGTCATGGCCTCAACAAAGTCACTAGACATAAAAAGCTCGGGTGTTTTTGGATGATAGCCCGGTATTGGCACGCTTGCAGCTGCATGTCGGCGATGCTGAAAATTTCCGTCTAAGCATACTATACAATCGGGCTCTTTGGGCTTGGTCTCTGCAACTGGTGGTCCAAAACACCTTGGACAATTGGCTGCTAGGTGATCAATATCTTGAAACTTCAGCTGTGCAAACTCCAGTTCCCGAATTGAACAGAGGATCGTTCGATAGGCATCTAGAGCGGACGTGAATGGCTCTCGCCAATCACAAGGCTTAGCAGAAAATTGGGTTAGCCACGTGTTGATGCAAACATTATGACCTTGCTTACCTGACCTTGTTTTGTTGTTAATATAGGGTTATCATCGTCCAATATCTCGTCCATCGCTTTCATAAAGCCCTGATTCCGTAATGAACAGTACTTCCAAACCACATGGAAGTGCTTTAGCAAGCGTACTGAAAAAGCAGTTTTTGGATGGACCGGTGTGGCTCCAATTTATCCCATCTGAAGCAGCCGCACTGGGTCTGAGGTACATTCACAAAACGTGACTTGAATGCAATCTCGGACTACATGAAAATCAAAGGTGAGCTTTGTGAAAACGAAAAAGAAAATATGTACGATGTAACCCAATAGATCCACAATATCCACCCGGGCTACCCGTGTTCGATTTCTTGGGCATGAACAAGGTTCTTTGAAGTCATTGTTCCAACAATCAGAATTACCCCAATTGGAGGTGATTTGGCGACATCGAAGGAAAGATGAGAGCATCTGTTGACACTGTTTGACCCAATTCATTTCGCGCTGTAGGCGTTTAGCATCATATCGCGCACGCCTTATCCCTGAAATAACATCTTGGTCGTCCGAATCAAGACTGTCGCAGCTGTCTGTGTCGTCATCCGAAGAACCAGGTGAAAAGGGAATGAATCCGTTGGGGTCAAGTAGATCGTGCTGGTAGTTCTCATTGTCGAGGTGGTTTATATCTGGGTTTGGTAACCCCAGATCTAATTCCACCCCTTTGATACGATGACGAGGAAATGGGGCGGCTTCCGCGACTTTTATGATAGGTTTTTGGTATCGTTCGGCTTGGCGTTTATTCTTCTCCTTCTGAGCTAAGAATTCAACCTGACGAGGAGTGACCGGCTTTGGGTTGGATTTTATTTTTTTGAGAGACCTGTTGTTCGGATTAGTAGGCATGGTATCGTATATTATTGTATCAGAAGTTAATTGAAAGCCAACATACATTCTATTCAAGACTCAGTCTCTAGGCCCAAAAGGGAAATTGTTCTTGGTTAATTTGATTGGACCTTCATTAGTCCGTTGCTCAATTCACAGATATTTCAGGGGATACAGTCAAACCTGTGCAATTGCATAATTTGGGTGGAAGACTTTTCCTATGCATTTTCACGGGTTATGCAATTCCATTGTCTAGTTTGGCGGTAAAAAGTATCAAGATCTAGGAATTTTTCTATGCATTGTCACAGGTTATGCATCTGCGCAGGTATGCATTTGCACAGGTTTGACTGTAATTTGCAATATACAGTTGAATGGAGACAATGAGTCTAACATATTTCATTGACCATTGAAGACACTCTACAGTTTCCATGAGGAAGGCAACCTTATGTTCATTTGTTCATTGGCACAAAATGGTACCACACATCAATCTTGTTACAATCATAAAGATGTGTAGAACAATTTGTTCAATTAGAATAAAATATGGGTTTATGATAAAGTGATCTGATATTGTGAGGGCCTTACAATCATTAGAGTGATTAAAATTCATATTGAAAGCAAATTTTGAAAGGGAAGATGCGGAGATATGAAGAAAAGTTAATAATGAAAAATGTTCAGGAAGTGGTAAAGGGGGTTGGCAAAGAAGCAATCAGCCACTGCACATCATTATCATGGTGTTTGATATGATTTTGTAGGTGAGCGGGATTTAAAAGGACAAATATTCATATTGAAAATGAAAAATGACCAGCATGTAGAAATTCATACTTAACAAAGAGCCATTTAGCCATTTTCCTGAATTCTCAATGTCATCAGGTGGATTTTGTGTTATCATTGGCACTGAAAAACTTGTCAAGTGTAATTGCACAACTCTTGTTGCCTATATCTGAAACCAAATTGTCCACATATTTGCTCTCTACATATCATTCACATTCCAGTTGTGGGAAAATGGCTAAATGGCTCTTTGGTAAGTATGAATTTTCCAACGAGCCTACTTTCGTTAATGACTTTTCTTCACATCTCCTCATCTTCCCTTTCAAAATTTGCTTTCAATATGAATTTTTGTCCTTTTAAATCCCGCTCACCTACAAAATCATATCAAACACCATGATAATGATGTGCAGCGCCTGGGTGCTTCTTCGTCAAACACACTTTACCACCTCCTGAACATTTTTCATTATTAACTTTTCTTCATATCTCCGCATCTTCCCACTTGAAAATTGAGTATAATCCAATTTTGAGTGTTTTTTCCTCCCGCTCAGCTACAAAAGCATCTCAAAAACCTTGACAATGATGTGCTGCGCCTGGGTGCTTCTGGTTTAAACACACTTTACCACTTCCTGAGCATTTTTCATTAATGACTTTTCTTCATATCTGCGCATCTTCCCTTTCAAAATTTGCTTTCAATATGAATATTTGTCCTTTTTATCCCGCTCACCTACAAAATCAAATCAAAAACCTTGATAATGATGTGCAGCGCCTGGGTGCTTCTTTGTTGAACACACTTTACCACTTCCTGAACATTTTTCATTATTAACTTTTCTTCATATCTCCGCATCTTCCCACTTGAAAATTGAGTATAATCCAATTTTGAGTGTTTTTTCCTCCCGCTCAGCTACAAAAGCATCTCAAACACAATGAAAATGGTGTCAGGTGATTGAAACGTTCTTTGGAAACTATGCTTTCCTACATGCTGGTCATTTTTCATTACTGAGTTTCCTTCTTATCTGCGCATCATACCTTTCAAAATCCTGTTTCATTATGATCAAAAGTGCTTTTTTGGCTTGTCCAGCTACAAAAACATCTCAAAAACCTTGATAATGATGTGCAGTGCCTGGGGGCTCCTTTGGTAAGTATGCATTTCTACATGCTGGTCATTTTTCATCAATGACTTTTCTTCATATCTCCTCATCTTCCCTTTCAAAATTTGCTTTCAATATGAACATTTGTCCTTTTTATCCCGCTCACCTACAAAATCATATCAAACACCATGATAATGATGTGCAGTGGCTGATTGCTTCTTCGGAAAACACGCTTTACCACTTCCTGAACATTTTTCATTATTTCACTTTGCTGATAACTCCTCATCTTCCCTTTCCAAATTGACTTTCAATAATGAATATTTGTCCATTTTATCCGGCTCACCTACAAAATCATATCAAACACCATGATAATGATGTGCAGTGGCTGATTGCTTCGTTGTAAACACACTTTACCACTTCCTGAACATTTTTCATTATTAAATTTTCTTCATATCTCCACTTCTTCCCTCTTGAAAATATGTTTCACACCCAAGTATTGCATTATGTGGGAATCGAACAGCGCCCTCCTGCGGACACAATAAGGACTACAAAACCCAAATTGATTCCAACAATGAAGTTTTCCTTAATTAGCACTTCAGTGCGCCTAGTAACATGATGGGCCCCGTGCGGCCAGTAGACACAAAGGAAACAAAGGCTTCTGAGGCCCTACTTTTTTGTTAATGCACAAGCATCATTCGGTTATTTGAGTGAATTGGCGTCGAGTAATAGAAACCCGGTTGTATCCAAGCCTTCTCTCTGATAAATTGGAACACCAACTCACAGACATTTGTTTCATCCTGGCCAACCCTTCCTACTTCACTATCCAATAGCGCCAAACCAATTCCAACCAAACAGGTACGTATATACTTTTCCTATGGAAAAATGTGATGCTGACAACCCATCTATCAGCTCTCACTATGTTCTCCGGCCAGCTCATCAAATACATTAAACCCATCTACATCATGCCGCCGCGACGTCAAATATACCCCAGAATTGAAGAGTTGAAGAATGATGGATCCAATCTCAAACTGTGGGTCGAGGTTGTGACATACCACTTATGGATGATCGACCAAACCAGGCGGATTTGGCTAGAAGATCTCATACCAAGGAACAGGATGCATATTTTTTCACATTTTTTGCTCTGTGTCTGACCTTTCCAGATTTTTGTATACAAATAATGGAGATGCAAGAGAAGCTTTAAGGGTGGTCTCGTGAATATAGTAGATTGCTAAGTGAGGAAAAGCAATATGCACAACGGGAGACAAGACTAGTATGAACTCTACATGTAACACGCGTGACAGGTCATAACACCACTCCCCCTTTTATGTCTCTACCTCCTCTTGCAGGCCAGCATCTATCCCCGGGTGGCATTAAAAAACCCAGTGGGAAAAAGCCATACCCTCACTTCTTTCTCCTCGTCCTTTTGTATCTAACTTCAGCATCTGGATACTTTCTATTAAAATCATTCATTAATTGTTTTGCATTCTTGAGACCTTCTTCTGGTTCCCATGAATCATGTTCTTCACCATATCCCTTCCAGTTAATTAAATACTCTAATTTTCTTCCTCTTTTTCTCTTATCAAGTATTTCATTAATTTCAAATTCATCTTCATTATTCATAACTATTGGTGGTGGCGGCATTTTGTGATGTCCTGGTATCTTGCTTTCTTCGAATTTTCTTAATAGGTTGACGTGAAAAACAGGGTGTACCTTACTCATAGATTTAGGTAACACAATCTTGTAAGCATTTTTAGACACACGCGCTGAAATAACAAATGGTCCTACCCATCTATGGGCAAACTTAGCTGTGGGCCGTGTTGTTGATAGGTGCTTGTTGTTGAGCCAGACCTTGTCTCCTTTCTTCCAATTAGGCGTATCTCGAACTTTGCTATCATGTTGCATCTTCATTAATTCTTGAGTTAGGCCCATTGCATCTTTTAATTCACGTTGAACATTTTTGATTTGATCAATTCTTTGTTCCACCAGCGGTAAACATTGTTCACTGGACGGAACATCGGTGAAGTTGACATTGAATCCATAATTAGCTTTGAACGGGGACACGCCTATCGCCAAGTGTTCACTGTTGTTATACGAAAATTCAGCAAATGGTAATAACGTCAGCCAGTCATCTTGCTTGTATGCGGTGAAGTGCCTGATATATAATTCAACCGCTTTGTTTGTAATTTCTGATTGGCCATCTGTTTGGGGATGATACGCCGTTGAGGATTGGGTCTTGATGCCTAGTCTTCTGTGGAAATCTTTAGTGATACGTGATATAAAGATATTTCCTCGATCAGATGTTACCGTTCGTGGAGTGCCGTGCAACCTCCAAACTTCCTTGATCATTAAATCAGCAAGCTCTTCGGATTTCATGCTCTTCCTACATGCAACAAAGTGCGCCATCTTTGTGAGTCTGTCAACAACAGTTAGGATACTGTCATAACCTCCAGATTTGGGTAAGTCCGTGATTAGGTCGTAGCAAATGTCGAGCCATGGTCCTTCCGGGATAGGTAAAGGTTGGAGACTTCCAAATGGCTTTTCGGTCCTAGATTTTACGCGTTGACATGATCCACATCCGTCCACGTATTTGTTGATGAATGCTTTCATTGACGGCCAGTGATATGCGCGCTTTACCAGTGCTAACGTTCGCATTCTCCCCGGATGACCTGCTAATATGCTATCGTGTCTAGAACGAAGGATGTGTAATTTCAAATCAGTGTCAGACGGAATAACAGCCTTGTTTTTGAAATATAAAATGCCATCAATACTCTTGATTGCCCCTGATGAA